TTTTGGGATACAGCGTCCCTCTGAGCCTACAGAAGACCCCATAGACAGGCTTCACCAGGTCTTCTCTCTAATTCGAGGATCATCCTTTCTCGTCAAAGCTGATCACGAAACCATGGTACGTAGTCGTTGGTCCGTCTTGATGTTGCCACATCCGTTTCCACCGACGGTGCTTTCATCTGAGCTCGAGGATGTGCTAAGCAAACTCCTTTCACGCGCTGCAATGGCGCCCGAAGCCGCTCGCATGGGTATATATGAACCGACCATACAAACTTTGAGAGACAGCCTTGCAATGTCAATTATGTATCGCCGCATAAAAATGACATTCTCATATTTTGCTGTCATTTGCCCTCCAGAGTTCTGGTCAATGGTGCGCATTGGCGAGCCCTTGGCTCTGTCCATTCTAGCCAACTACGCAGTCACTCTTGACTGGCTGCGGAGAAACATATGGTTGGCATACTGGGGGAGAGAAATAGTTGTTGCCGTTCGTAAGGCATTGCCGCTAGACTGGCACGAATGTATTGCCTGGGCTGTCCAAGAAACGGAACGCCCATCTGAATCAGATAGACTCGGGCGTTGCTCAGCATCAACATCAGATTCACTGCAAGAGAACGATCAGATTACCACCTCAGTGGCATTATAAGTTGCGCGCGGTATCATCTTCTTTAAAAGGAATTCTAGGAGTCCTCTCACGGTTCCCAAATTCTAACTATCTATTTTTTGCTCCACGCAGAGCGCCTCCCCATATGAGCTGATGTCGTACCCATTCTCTTCCAAATACGCCTTGAACCTGGCATCCTCGGTTTCCAGCTCTCGCGACATATCCGGGATCAGGAACCACGCTATCAACGCACCAACCATACAGAAAGCCGATCCTATCAGGAAGACGGCTTGTTGACCTTTTTCGGTAGATGAGAACGAGTCCTGAATGGGCGTAAATACTTCAGTCCCGATTGATGCACCCGCCTTTCCTACTGCGGCGGCCAGACCAAGGAAGTGACCACGAAGAGGGGTGGGGAATGACTCTGCGGCGCACAGAAAGGTCGACACACCGGGGCCCATCTCACCCAGGGCGTTGAAAATGCCGTACATAACGACGAACAACGGGAATACTGACTGTATCGGGCGAAGAGCTCCGCCCAAAATGAAGCCCCATATACCCCAGAGCACGAAGCCGAGAGTCATGTTCTGCTTCCTTCCAATTTTATCCATCAGGAGCCCTCCCAGTAGGCAGCCTGGGAGATAGAAGCAATTAACAACCGTCTGGTGGACCGTATCAGCATCTCGATTTTAGGACATCCGGCTGCTTGTTTTACGTACTCCGTAACCAATATTTTCCACTGTTGTATTGTTTGGGCTGAGTTGAGAGATGATGGTGGAAGTGAAGAGTCCAAACGGATACGTGACAAAGTCGTAGCAGAACCAAGCGAGAGCTAAGATATCAGGGCGGCTGATGCAATTATATCCAGGAACAAAACTTACAGGTTCCCAATATCGGTTTCCAATACCTCCGAAGGACAAGCCAATATGGGTATCGCGACTTGATAGCGTGCTTGCGATATTGCTTCGAATTGATCATGCGAATCCGAAAGAAACACATGAAAACAGGGATCTGTCACAGTTTTCAATACATCACTTTGTGCTGAGGGTTCTTAGAGCATACCACAAAACCAAGCCCAAAACAGACTCTCCAAACCCCACTTTTGACATCCTGGTGGAAGCAAGCGAGAACAATGAGGGCCACAATACCGGCGGCCACGAAGCCCTAAGCATAGTTCCATTGAGTTACATGAAACCCACTCCGATGATTGAGACACGTACCATATCCACAGCAAAATCTGTGGTTGACGCGACCAGAAATCCTCTCTTCTTCCGAAGATTGGCGGTCTCATCAGCCGCCTCAGTTGCGCTGGTTGCGCAGACAGGATACTCGCCACCAGCTCCGAAGCCAGCGATACCGCGAGCAACAATCATCATCCAAAACATTCTAATCAGAAAGTCAAAACTTCTGGTTGGTACTTCGTTCAATTGGAGCGAGTCTTACCCCAACTCCGAGGTACCGTGTGCTGCAGCAGACAAGATGATACCAAGCACCAAGAACAAGGTAGTAGCCACCACTCCTGTCCGTCTTCCCACTCGGTCAATCAATGCACCGAAGAAGAGCATACCAAAGATCTCTCCAATAAGGAAGGAGTTTGATAGTCTGGTTTTGATGCTTGATGACATAGTATTCTTATACCTAATGCCAATGAATGCGTCAACAGATAGCCTTAAGCTACGGGGCTACCGATGGGGACTAACAAGACAGAAAACAAAGGCTCCATGTAGCCGACTTTGCGGATACTGAGATTAGTGAAGTTCCTTACACACTCTGGGCATGTCATACTAGGCACAGGCTTCGGTAAAGGTGTACTCACTGATCTGAGCATTATAGCCATCACTGAAGAGTCCCAGTCCCGAGACGACAACATTCAAAACACCTGATGAAGCCCGTAACTCACCATTTTCGACAGAATTAGTGTCGTCTTCCTTCATTATCTCCCTCTGATTGCTATGCTTCATAGTGTTTTCGACCCGTTCGGTCGCGGAGCAATTGGTTGCTACAGCCATGATAGAAGATGCTGATGTGTCGACTGTAGAGGTGTGTCCATTGGGCAAAAGGAATGACTGCGACTTCGTGGGCTATAGTCTGTCCTTAACTTGTCCGTTGCATCCTCACTACATCTACTTCAGTGCAGCTAATAGTTCTCTGGGCAACGATAGACTCCTCGAGAACGTGCCATGCTATCCAATAGCAGCTGGCATGGCTTGCACGAGAAACATAGTGTTGCATCGCTGCTGGCAGACGAACCCACCTTTCGTACAACAGGCGGAGAGTTTTCAGCGAGGTCTATCTAATGTAACAGAAAGGACAAATTATACCCAGTCCAGGCAGGGCCCTGGCGGGGATCTCCGCCTCGCTTAGGCAAGAAGGCCCGTAGTCCGGCGGGGCTTATCAGGACGGCCCGCGCCCTATGATAGCGCCTCGTCCCGGGCACATGGGCATTTTATAGCATCCTGAGTGGTTCTATGCCTCGAGATACCTTCAAGGATCAGCCTGTCTCGTGCCTGGCCTCTGCGCAACCCCTCGCTGATACTTCTGCCTCGTGCTCCGACATCCTCCACTCTGGCACACGGACCTTGCACCGGCCCGGCATAGTGACATATGAAGGTCGGCAGCTGGAAGTAACGTTCACGAGCAAGGAGGCTCGCATTAGAGGATTTATGGGTGCGATGGCCCCAATCTCGGTGGGGAAAAAGGACATGTGCTCTCTGCAGATTGAACCGAAGTATTAGTCCGATCATAGCAAGACTAGCATCATGGATAACAGCTATTACACACTGACGGAGGACCAACTCCAGTTCTACGAGGAGAAGGGATACTTGCTCATCCAGGGCTTCTTCAATCCTCCTGAGACCAAGGTCCTACAACAGTGGACTCAGGAAGTACACGACCTCCCAAGGACTCCAGATGCAACTTATATGCCCTATGAGGTGAGATCCAAGTGTCACCTTTCTTAGCAGCTGGCTGGCGAACTTATCCCGGCTGCAGGAAATCAATGCCGAAGGCAAAAGGGTCCTCTGCCGCACAGAAAATTATGCCAATTCTCATGCTGGCTTCAACAGTTTTCTGCGTGGTGAACGCATCTTAAGCGTTCTCCGTCAGCTAGCTACAGAGGACATGATCCTATTTAAAGAGAAGATTAACTACAAACTCGCTGGTAGTGGTAAGGGGGAAACATCTGCCGCACTGGATAGAAAAGCAGCTAATACGACGCAGGTGGCTTCTCTCCTCATATCGACGCCAATGCATACACCCACGTCAAGAAAATCAAGCACCTGACGGTGCTTGCTGCTGTTGACGAGATGACCTCAGAGAATGGTGGACTTGACGTGGTCGACGGCAGTCACCTTAAGGAGGTACCGCTTGGAGAGGACCGCTGCATTGAGCCTGGCTGGGTCAAGAGCCAAACATGGACGCCTTGCAATCTACAACCGGGTATGTTTGTTCTGCTAAAACTGTTATTCAAAAAATAACCATCAGTTTACTCAGGTGACATTCTCGTTTTCGGCTCCTATCTTGCCCACAAGAGTGGCGCCAACACCAGCTCCAAGGACCGACGCGCAATCTACGCCACATACAACCGCTTGGCTGAGGGTGACCTGCACGATCAGTACTATGAAGATCGCCGCAAGCTGTGGCCTGCCACGCACATGCGGAAAGAGGGGGAGACGTATGAGGAGGGCAGAATGCGGTATGGCTACGGCTCCCCGATGCTGACGGTCGAGGGCCAACAGCCGGTACTTGCGTAGCGTAAACTTAGGGTGCAGTTCCATGAATGAATAGCTTGTTGAGAACGGGCAAAGAAGAGATTTGGAAGGAAGGAGTCGATAGACTGGTGTTCTACGACTTCAAATCTATACCACGAAGTAGAAAATCATGTAGATCAAACGATTGTTCACCACATAGCAACATTTATAATTAATCAGTTCACACAGCCAAGAAATCCCAATAATTCCAAGACAGATATGAAACTCATAATCCAAATCGGCTTTCTCATAATGAACCAAATAAAAGCGAAAGCACGTGGGTTCATGAAACCAGCAGAAAATCGCTCCTATAAAACCCCTCTCCCCCTGGTCACTCTTCCCACATCCACATCAGATCCCTCCCTCCTGAGCATACTACCACCTCCACACACCTCCCCCCTGCCCAACTCCTCAAAATGAGCCCCCAAACACCCCTCGAAAAAGCCACCTACCTCGTAACCTCCCTTGAAGAATACGGACAAGGCGACTACATCGGCGAATCCATCAGCCAGCTCGAACACTGTCTACAAGCCGCGCACCAAGCCCAGAATTCAGGTACAAGATGAGCCACTCCACACCATTACCTGAAGACCGAATCATCACCACAAGAAAAGAAACCAAATGGACTGATAAGATCCATTTCTTCCAGGCGCATCCCCCGAACTAATCCTCGCCGCCCTTCTCCACGACATCGGCCAGATAATCCCCCTCTCATCCACGAAGGAAGTCCGGATGAACCTGAAACCCAATAGCGATAACAAGAATACCGAGAATGTCGGCCGCATGGGCCACGAGACTATCGGAGCGGAATACCTTCGTTCACTGGGTTTCAGTGAGAAGGTTTGTCGGTTAGTCGAGAGTCATGTTCCTGCGAAGCGGTACGTTTCCTTCACTTCATCACAACACCCACTCCTACTCTCTACTACTATCTTCAAAGTGTCAAGCTGATAAGAAGATAAATGAGTGTGTGATAGTTACCTCACCGCCACAAACAAAACATACTACGAGACATTATCATCCGCATCGAAGAAATCACTCGAGTTCCAAGGCGGGCCATTCAAGGGCGCAGAGTTGGAGGCCTTCGAGAGGGATCCGTTGCGCGATGAGATGGTCAAGTTGAGGCTTTGGGATGATGCGGCGAAGGTGCAGGGGATTGAGGAGAGTACGCCGAGGGCGGGGGAATATCGGGATTTGATTCGGGTGCATTTGGAGGGGGTTTGTTAAGGTAGATGCTCAACATTTTGATGACTTATGGTATGGAAGGATTGTTAGGGCTGGGATGAAAGGTATAGTGTATAATGTCGATGACGACAGTGACAAGTATCTGGGAGAGGTGTCTGTCTTGTGATTAAAGTTATAATTCTCAACTTCTGAGAAGCGTGGCTCCATCCTAAAGTAGGATTAGCATGCAAACATACAAGCTTCAACCCCTCGTTACATGTCAATAACCAAGCAGTACGAGATAAAGAGCCTTTCCAGTTTATTCATTTATGCGTGCAGTGGAAAAGTAAAATATTATTATTAAACCCCATTTCCATGAACAACGCTCTGTCGCAAAAAGAAAAGCGCCCTGCAGGACGGTAAGTATCTCGAGTGGAAGAAAAAAAAATGCATTGTCGGGGAGTCGAACCCCGGCCACTCGCTTGGAAGGCGAGTATCATAACCGTTAGACTAACAATGCTTGTTGTTATAGATGATGTCTATTTTATATTGATATACCATAATTGCAAAACCAATAGTCAATATCCTATGGAATAGAATAGCAAACACCACACTTAGTACTACTAAATTCGACGGATGCCAGTCAAAAGAGTAGGATATCGCTTTTTGCAAGGCTTGATTTGTTTAGTGCCGTCAGGGACCACGAAGCTGAATCGATCGGTTCCTCTCTTGGGTCGGGCGGCCGTGGTAGAGGGTAGTAGCTGCTGTGTACTGATTTAGGTGGCATAGCTTCGCAGTCGAAGACATGCAATTGGTTGTTTTCTAACAGAGATAGTGCGATGCGGATAATTTGCTTGCTAAATCAAGTGGTTCGTTACATCGCTCAATATGAGGGTAGTGAGGGCCGATCGATAAACTACTACCTGCGTGGACATCGAGCATTCTGCGAGAAGCTTCAGTGCTACAATGGCCAAGATTGACAAAGTATTTACGGAGCAGCCATTCCATAAAGACAGGTCATAACTAATCGGTCATATCGACGTAGATCATATACGTACAGAGAAACGCATTTGATCAATAATAGCCACTCGACACACTATGAACATCATGTGCCAGTCAAAGACTTGGTGTATTCCAGACCAACTTCTAGATATCATTTGACCATCAACAGTGTAACCGGACGCCATAAACACGCACACCCAGAACCATGGATTTTGCACCAGAACCTAACACCCACAACCGCACCGAGGACTTGCCAAAAAAGAAAGTGTAAAGTGAAAGCGCAGGTAGCAAAGAAGAGAAAATACGCGGGACTATGCACATATTATACCCCGGCAGCAACGATAGGCAAAAAGTAGAAATGAAGAAAAGGATATCTGAAAAGGCTCAAGAGCGCGGAGAAGAAAAGAAGTATACCTGCGCCGGTGAGGCGTTTATTTCACCCGCGTGGGACTTCCAGCACTGCCAACGCGGCCGCTAGCCTTCCGAACCTTCGTCTCACTCCTCGTGTCTGTTGCACGCCTGGGGCTCGTCCGAACCTTTGTTACTGCGATCGCTCCACTGCCACTCTTGGTGCTGACAGGAGTCTTCGGTGCTGCATACGCGGCAGCATCGCCCCAATTCTCTCGATCATCGTCATTCAGGGTGTAGCTAGCAGTTACCGTAGCAGAGTAACTAACGGACCGCTGACTGGGAGATGCGACAGGGGATCTGGAGGAACGCTTCGCCAACATACGCAATTGGATCTCCTCTTCACTCTCGCTGCTGTCGTTGCTGAGACGGTGGTGTCTGTGGCTGGTCTGTTCGGAATTCTTATTGCCATCCTTGTCGACAATCAAGCTTCCAGATGTGGTACGGGCATAGGGGTGATGGCGGGAGTCTTTTCTGTGTGACTTGCGAGGCTGTCCAGGAGTGGGTGCGGGGAGGTACTCTTCCGCCGGGGCCCCAGCTCCTTCGTTGTGGTCGATCTCGCCAAGAGCAGCACGCTTAGAATGGCCGTTGTTCGGCGGCGTGGCGACAGGTCCGTTGGCCCGCTGTCTGGTAGATGGCCGTCCAGGGGTGATGGGAGCAGCCTGCATCTGAGCCAGCTTCTCCTTCATCGAGTCCTCGTACCACCACTCGCGGAAAGAGCCCTGGTTGAGGTGTAGCCAGTGCTGTTGAGGACCGACTACCATGCCTGGTCGCATGAATCTCATGAAAGCAATGATCTCGTTGGCAGTAAATCCGTATCTGTAGATGAGGTACGCGCCGATTAAGCATCCAGTCCGTCCCAGACCGGCCTTGCAGTGAACAGCAATGCCCTTCTTCTTAGAGATCGTCTCGTGTGCCATTTTGATGAAGCGACGGACAAGTGGCAGGGGAGGGCAGGTTCCGTCTTCAAAGATCATATCCACATGGGTGATGCCCAGAGCCGTGAAGTAGGAGGGAGAGTACAACTCGGAGTTCAGTCTCACAACAAGGCCGATGTTACGGGATGAAAAGTGCGCCAGAACGTTTTTGAAAGGAAGAGGTAGCTTTGAAGAAAGGACTTCAGAGACGGTGGATGGAAGCGCTGCGAACTCGGGCGTGTTTTGAGGGATTGGCGCAATCGGTTGGTGTTGCGGCGAGGCGAAAGCGAGGAACTGCGGGGTGATCCAGTTGAAATCACCCATGTCAACACGCTCAAACTTTTCGTATCTAAAAAAGATGTCAGTAGAGTCAATAAGAGCCAATTGCTATTATACATACTCTTCAAGACTGAAGTCCCTGAGGCTACAGAGCGACTGCTCCTTAGCTTTCCACACACCATAGACGACATCCTGGATGTTTAGGATGAAATCTGCCTGACTATAGCCTGCGTCACGGAATGGCATGTACGGGGGATCGGCTTGCGCAATTGGTGCCAGAGCGAGGTGCGGGGGCCAGGCCTGGATCAGGACCATGTAGCAGGCAACCAGGCAAGCAGCATTGGCACGGCTTCGTGCATCCGTCTTAGAGTAGAACACCACTGCACGATCACGATTTTCAGGCTCCCCAAGAATCTCGTGGAACTGGACCGCGAACCGATACAAGTGACCGATGTGTAGAGGGCCGAAATCGGCATGGAATGAGTTGTACAACAAGACATCATCTACGGTGAAATAGACGGGACTGCGCTTCTTGCTAGGAGTGCTAGGCTGAGCCCTCGCAGAGCGCTTGGACGGTGATCTCGGCTGCTCTAGGGGATAAGGAAATGGGGTTCGTGCATCGGGAGGGTTATCGTAGGAGGCGAGGTAGAGACGATCTGTTTTGCCCGAACATTTAGCAAGCTGCACATAAACACTTCCACTGACGATGTAATTTCCAGCTGTTGCTAATCCAACATGCTCATGGGCGATGGCAGGAAGCTAACGAACCTTGAATATATTCAATCACTTGCCCATAACCACTGTTGGTAGCCATCTTGACTTGGGCGATGCGACAATCAAAACAATAGTCGCTAATGGGGGCAACGTGTAGTCCGAGGAATGAGGGAAGGAAATACTTGACAAGATGAACCTGTCAAGAGATGCAATGCTGCAATTGAGAGGAGTCGAGGAGCTCTGTCGATTGATAGAAAAGTGAACAAAATAACAGTTCTGGACTAAATGCTCATGATCTGATCTGTTGGCGCTCCTAAACAAAAGGTGATGCAAGTTAAGACACGGGTGCCGATAGGGTAAGGATAGCACAAGTCCAGGGGAGGAGGAGGAAGATATACACGAGCCCGGACAGGGAGCGGTAGAGGCTGGAGACCGACAGTGCGGAGCGTGAGGGGAAGAGAGAGGAGAGGAAGTGAGGGAAAAGTTGGCCGCACGAGAAGAAGATAGGCTCGAGGCCGATGAGTCTGCTTTGGGGGGCAACTGCGATGCACGCTCAGTGGCTGCTGTTATGTTGTGATTCCCCTGATCCGGCCTAGCGGCCGCCGTTGACAGGACAACGTCCGGTGCCTCAGGCTGCCGTAGCTCCGGGTGATGTCCCTGACCGTCACGGGACTGTCATCTTAGTCAGCTTCTGCTGCCTCCCCACAGGCAAACCGATCAAACAAACGGTCCGCCACACCCATCCTCACCAGCCACAAACATTTGCACCCCGAACCATGTGACAGCCCGTGACCTTTGTTTGTTTTGCGGCCATTGTTGTTGGTATCAGGATGGTTGTCGCATCAACTTGGTCCCCTCATCAGTATGAAGGTCTCACAGTCCGGATTGTTTCTTCAGTCAGCCCTCACTTAAACTTTTCTCTGTCATTCCTGCTGTGTTCATTGCTGCAATTGTGACCAGGACTTACTTCACCTGTCTGAAGCTAGTCGTGTCGATATATATATATATAATGGACCACATGTGTCTTCAACATTACGCCACGATGGTACTAACAGACGAAAACTTCACACAATCGCGCAGCACTGATATAAGTGATTCTGATAATGGGCTATAAATATGAATACAGCAGCTACTAATGAAGTAGAGCTGCGCAAAATTAGGGATGACGAAATACAGACAATTCTGTTTGCTCGTTTAATTGCAAAGGCTGCAGTTCCCGCTGACCCCTGTGAGTTCAGGTTACCTGTTGATCCTTCCACATCAACACCTCACTTAGCTCAGTCTAGTGTTGCTTACCCCTACCACTACACACATACTCCGCCCACATCAGCACATCGCAGAGGGAAAAAGTCACTGGTGTGGACTTGATCATTCGAAATCTCCTAAACTCTGACGTCACCCATCGTGCACCTCAAGCCAAGCCGTCCTGTACCTGACTAATAACTCTCTAACAGGACTAATGGAGTCCTTCATCCACCAGGACATACGATTACTACTGGAAAAGCTTTGCTCGGTAATGGACGAAGGGCCCTTCCGACCGTGGTCAGGTACCGGAGGTGCTTGCCGATGGATACTTTCGTCTGATTCACGGCCGATGATGGGGTCATTGAGTTACCGCGAACACGAATGATGTATGGTATGGGCAGTCTTAAAAATGATATTTTGTGGGGAGGCTATACTCGGTTAGCGTATGGGTGGTTAGCAAGCCGATTGCGGTTGGAATCTGCGCCTTATCGTTATGCTGATCGCTCTGCCCAACAACGGTTCTCGAAAATGTAGTGGGTGGATCGGATCGACAGGGATGGAGGTACGTACCTGGCAACCTGGCAAGCAGACAGCGGCTGGCTTTTCTGCGAACCTAAATCACTTGCACACCATTACCTTGCCATTGCTGGTATTGTTTTCGTCGCGCCGCTGTGTTCAAACTCCCTTTTGCTTAGTTATACAAAATAAGGACTACGCGTTCAATAGTAATCGGCTCATTGAGTTGCTCCTATCGAACGCTTCCCTTCGACTGGGACCAGGATTTTGATTACTTCGCCGAGCTAACAGCTGACTATAAGCCTTTGAAACTTCTGGGTCAATGATCACCATGCTGAACAGAACAGGAATATACAGGATAAGGTTCCGCGGGGTTTCTGGGCGAGCCCCACGCTGCCCACGGAGGTTTGATGAGGTACAGACATTAACCTCCGCAGTGCTGCCAATGCAACAGTCTTGACCATCATCGGCAATTGCATTCAAAGTGGAGCACCATTTAAGATTACACTATTGGATCCCTATCCCACGGTAGGAGAAAGGGACAGAGGTCAAATCATACCCGCCCACCTCAGGCACTATCGATTCTTGTCTGAAATTTGGTCATGACATACTACGATGTGAGAGACAAATAATCACCAACACTTTTCAGCACCATAATATGCACCTACGAACGGATACCGTTTGCATCATCAATACTGCATGAATGAGTATGGTTCTATATGCGACGTAAACCCATATGCTCAGAGTAGGCTGGCATCAACTTTGCCTGCTATCTTCTTGATAGCTTGCGGGCTTGGATTAAGCTCATCGGATGAAAGGCGTTCTACCATCCCATCTGAAACGACGGAGTGGTGTCATTGGATCTCGATGTCGATCCTCATTCATGCGAGCTCCTAAGGTGCCCGATTCGATGGACATGGAAGTCAGCTTCATTGCCAACTTCCCCTGAATTAAAGCCCAGCACGAAATCTCTTCCAGTGTTGTCTATTTAATGGAGTGTCCTCCCAGTTGCTGTCCTTTCTCTTCCCAAGCACTTCGCTCACTGTCAGTCGTTCTCTAAATCTCCAAACCCTCATTCGCTCCTTTACAGCAACTACAATACACTCACTATCTTTCTTTATCCTATTCCTCAAATCAACAATACATCACAATGAAGTTCACTGGAATTGCTGCTCTTGCCCTCGCTGGCAGTGTCTCTGCTGCCGCTATCCCGGTTGTGGATACTACCGTCCAGTCCACTCTTAGCCAGCTGACCGGCGTTCTCGGAAAAGTCGACAATGTTGTCGGTGGCCTTGTTGGCTGCGCTACCACCGATCTCACTGATCTGAAAGACGGTAAGCTATCTACGGCCGTGAAGGTTTGCTAGGGAGACCCACTAAGATTAGATATGTAGAACTTTCCACCATCGAAGGCAAGCTGACCCAGCTGCTCCCTTCCAACAAGCGTGACCTCACCGGCACTGTCGGTGGCGTTGCTACGCCTGTGGTCGGAATCGCTGGTGATGCCGCTGGAACCGTTAAGGGTGTTGCTAGCGGTGCTGTTAACACTGTTGGAAACGTTGTTGGTGGAGCCGTCAACACTGTCGAAGGTGTTGCTTCTCCTGTTGTCAAGACAGTTGGTGGTGCTGTCGACTCTGTCGCCTCCCCTGTTGTCAACGCGGCTGGCGGAGCCGTCGGCACTGTCAAGGGAGCAGCAAGCGGTGTTGTCTCTGGTGGTATGTACAATAACCCAGATCCATGTCCAATAGCTAAGATTATACCAGCTGTCAACCTAAAGCGCGACATCACTGACCTTTCTGGTCTTTCTGAGACCCTTGTCGCCAAGATCCAGAGCGGTAAGTGAAATCCTGAGTATGAGTGGTAAAGTAAGCTTACTGACTCTTCCAAGGTGACCTGACCGCCGGCGCTCTTGAGAAGGTCCTGGACCTCCTCAGCCAGAACGGTAAGTTGATCTAAGAAAATCTCGAAGGAAACATCGCTGACAATGGCCTAGGAGGTCTTGCCAACCTTCAGTCCGTCCTTTCCCTTGTGTAAAGGATGACTTGTTCAAACAATTTCTGCCTCCTCCCACGACATACACTCCTATATTCAGTGATGTGTCATGGAAACCTTCGACCAGGGAAACCTTAACGAAGTCATGACTTTGTGGGAGAGCGGTTCTGTTGTACATTCGAGCGTATCTTCTCTGTTGGCCGAGGAGAGCAGCCTTGGGAGACTTCCGCCTGCCGTATATATACTTTGATACCAGAATAATTGTAATGTCTTGAAGCCACACTCATTCTGCTGCCTCGTAGTCGATGAAGGAAAGTAAACAGATGATTATAAATAGCGTGGATAAAATTGCTCGATGATAAACCCACTGTTTCTAATCTTTCCAAATTATATTGGCAATGGCGTAACCTGGCTACCCAGAACAAATGTTCAGCACTCAACTAGAATACAGTGGCTGAAATGCTTTGCAATACTGCTTGCGAGAAATAATAGGCTGGCAGACGTCGCCAGGCCATATTATCAGTAACACTCGTTGTAGCCTGAGGCCGCAATGCTTACTCATGCCTTATCGCACATCCCACTCTTTCCCCGCCTCAATATCAATCTTTCTCCCCAGCGTTGCGCTCTTTATTACACGAATTCGAGTCGCTGTTGCATTGAACTCACTTTAACCTCCTACTCTCTCAGAAAGACATACGCATATCACCATGGCATCCAACGGAACCCCCTCCGAATTCCCCTACACCCTGTAAGAAGAGCCAAACTCCCCTTGGGCATATCACCTCAACACCACTGACCAACAACGAATCCCAACAGAACAATCTCTCTCCCTCTCCCTACCAACCGCCTGGCGTCCGCCGCCCTGCGCACCCTCGAGGTTGACACCGAGCTCTCCCCCTTCGTGAAGCGCAGTTTCGCCCTGACAACGCCGACCAAGGAGCAAACCGCCGACGAAGAAGCCAAAACTGTGCTGGAGACGACCTACTGCGCGACGACGAATCGCATGCTGCGTGTCTCTGTGAATGGCTTTATGGAAAACCTGGCAGTGGTGCTTGGAGTGATGGAAGAATTGGACGTGGATGTTCTAGATGCGGATGATGAGAAATGAATGATGGGTCTGTCCCAGCGCAGATGGAGACTGGAAAAGCAAATGCGAGGTTTACTGTGCTATGTTATGCTACACGCTACCAGGGGCATTTCATAAGGGTTAGATGTGCCCGATTATTGGGTCGATCAAGACTATATCGGTATTTTGCCGCTGGCCATGATCGTTCGGACGGAACACGGATACCGGATGTTCCTCGCGGTGCAGGCAAGCCGCGTCCGGGGGGTCGTGGATGGGAGATTTGCGTACCGTGGATGGGGCAAACCACCAACGTACCTGTGTGCGTGGGCTTGTTCGGCGATGGGGCTTGAATTGTGATTTGAGTCAGGAGCGTATATAGCTGGTTGGGTAATATGTGGATAGCGTGGAATGTGGTCTGCCGAATTGTACGATGTGAGGGTCTAGAATGAATATATCACTAATGCTGTGTCCTCTCATAATGAAGTCTGGCAAGGGTAACGGATAGATACGAAGATTATACGGAGCCCCAGTCCGGAAAGAGCCAATGCCACTAAGTTCCAATAGCCGTGCATGATGACCATGCCTTAATTTAAAACCCCAGAACTCACAATATATTGTATCCACCTCGAGTCTCAAGTATTTGGAATTTCTAAATGAAGCAACAGTGCACTGATCAAATCACCCAATATCATCCGATCACTAATCAATTCCATTGTGCATAATAGCCCTACATCCTCAACCAACCACAATCGCCATAAATGCAACCAAACCCAAAGCAGCAAAAGCGCCGGTGGCGCCGTAACGGGATTTTACACGTGCAACAAACCCCAAGCCACTTTTGGGCCCGAAACCGTATCGATCGACCCGCAATCATTCAGGCCATTTTCTGCTAATGATGACATCGATACTGGTTCGGGTTCCGGAATCTTTTGGTCCCGATCCATCTGGTTCCATTTCCCCTCCTCTTTGGGATTTGCGCGCCTGCGACGATTATTGACTGCTGGACCCCCTCTTATCTTCTCTCCCCTTCTTAGTCGCTGATGCGTTTGTCATCGATCATCCCATTCACTGATTTATCATCCTCAAGGTCGAGACTCACCTCATCAACTACATATCTAGTTGCGCATTCCCTGGTACCAGTCCGATTCATCAGAACTACTGCTCTTACTGGTCCATATCACCTTGCAACATCACTGCGACCAAGCCACCGGAACAATTTTCCTGTCCAGCGCATTCATTCCCCACCATCCCTTTCGTCAAATTCACCAAGACTACTATCAACCATGTCTTCTGCGACTACCTTCTACGACTTTGAGCCCGTCGACAGTACGTTACTCACCCTCCTTCACTTCCTTCAACCCCACCCCCTAGCTTCATACCCAACTAACCACCCCTCCCCTCTCAACAGAAAAGGGCTCCCCCTTCCCCCTCACCGACCTCAAAGGCAAAGTCGTCCTCGTCGTCAACACCGCCTCCAAGTGCGGCTTCACGCCTCAGTTCCAAGGCCTGGAGAAGCTCTACCAGGACATCAAGTCTAAGCACCCGGAAGACTTCACCATCATCGGATTTCCCTGCAACCAGTTCGGAAGCCAGGACCCCGGATCCAACGACGAAATCCAGTCCTTCTGCCAGATCAACTACGGAGTGACATTCCCCGTGCTGGGCAAGTTGGACGTCAATGGCGACAAGGCCGCGCCGGTGTGGACGTGGATGAAGGAGCAGCAACCCGGTCTGCTGGGGCTGAAGCGCATCAAGTGGAACTTTGAGAAGTTCCTGATTTCGGCTGATGGAAAGGTTGTGGGTCGCTGGGCTAGTTTGACCAAGCCCGAGTCGTTGGAGGAGCCGATTCTGAAGGAGATTGAGAAGGCGAAGAAGGAGGGCTCGTTGGCTTCGTTGAAGAAGGAGGAGGCGACGGCTTAATTTTGTGTGCTGCTGGTGTGGGATTATATTTATATTACATTGGTGTGAGAGGACGGGTGTTTGGTTGGGATGATACCATGCAGCAGTAGCTGCTGCTGCTGTCTTTTATACTATACTGAGTATTATATAATGGCTGTTACGCTACGCTAGGCGACTGGTGTTGCGAAACGAAACTCTTCAACTGCCGTGTTCTGGACAGTGTCGTTATATTTCATATCAATTCATATGCTAATTCAATTCTCTGTGTTTCAAATCATGCTGCAGCGCTACCCTTGGGGATCAAATTGCGCAAAGAGAGATCGTAAACCACATCCTCCACCTTCTTGACCTGTACCATCACATTAGCATCCCATAAATTACACCCACCTTCCACAGGTGGAAACTTACACTGTATTTAATCCCATCACTCCTCTTCCGCAGAATATCATTCTTCAGATTCAACAATTGGAATCCCGCAAACAGATCCTTGATGAAATTGCCAATCTGCACCGGCCGGGTGTAATCACCGAGAGTGACCGAGTTGACAGCCAGACGGGCCTATCATATCTTCTATTAGCAAAACAATGCATTCCAATAACAGACCAATATCAGGGGAGTGGGAAACTGACCAACTCCTCAACCATAGAAATCAGCGCAAGCAGATACTCCTCAATAGTGAGATGGAAGGCATCCTGTTCTTTGAGATTCACGGGGACTAGAGATTATCATTAGAATCAAGTTCACACTCTGAATTTCTCAAAGATAGGAGATAGACAGAGAACGTACCACCCAGGAACTTCCCAACCTCTTCAATCGTCAGGAAGGAAGAGGAGCTGTTCGTCTTGTACTCTTCCAGTCCGCCTAGCCAAGCGCAGAGCTCGATCGATGAGACCTATTGGCCAGCTGATTAGCTCTCATCTGCAACAATCAAACCCCAGTAATAGAAGAGGCACGCACAAGGTTCTGCAACTCGCGCGTCCACACGCCATTGTACTTGTAAAACGGGTGCTTGTCTGCCACGGTCTTCAACCGAGATACTTCATCCCTCTGGGCGATGATCTCCTTGGTTGCGTCGTCGAGGACGGGTTTCACTGTTCTTATTAACTATGTCCCTAAAATCCTTTTTAGATAGAGGAATAAAGAGTTGAGCATACACTGATCAGTGGGTGTAGAATGAGCCCGCGACAGAATAGCCTGGTTAGATCTTCCTATCCAGAATATCAGCCAAGCGAAACCCTCAAATTGAGCATCCCCTCAATGCGATAATTGAGAGAGAACGGAATGAATAGGTGAATACCCTTCCTAGCCAGCGTCTGCACAATATCATGAAGTTCCTGTACAGTCCGTTAGCACAACGGCACTTTGCTTTCGGGTTTTGTTTCTGCGCTTGGCGCGGGCACGGGTCAACTTACATCGCGGACCGCAGCCTCCTCATCAATCTTGGCCTGCAGGTCCTCGAAGATGTTGTGATCGATCATCTTGGATTATTTGTTGTATTATCCGATGTGTTGTGGTGAGTGATACTAAATTGATTGGGATTCGCGTTACGGGAGAGATGTTGATGAATGTTACGTCAGGGAAACAAAGCTGAAAAGAGAAATTGTGGGGCACGTTTTCTGCCGCTTTGGCTTTGGGTTTTATATCACGGCGGATGACTACCAGTAGAGGAGATGGGTGAATAGGTTACTGCAGAAGAGTGTTTGGGCTCGCTAACGGGCTCTGAGAATGTTGATGAATATGATCTTTTATATCATTATAGTTTTCTACTGGTTTCTTCGGTCTGCGATGCCACTACGAAAGCAAGATACACCCCACCATACAGCTGCTCCTAATTACAAGCAAGAGTCACTAGTGATAGAGAACATCATATTCATCTTAATTCTAACCTAACGAGCCTCTAAGAAAGCCCACACATTCATAAGTCATAGCAAAACTCAAACAGAACCAACCCCACAACAAGCACGACAATCAGTAGCGGTACCTCGTCGAGTAATCTACAGCAGAAATCATGCATCAGCCAAACCATCCAGCCAGTACCAGAACAACTCAAGATAATAGATAGACTTACCCTTCGGACTAACAACCAGACCACGTCCCTTCTTCGCACCCTTGTAAATGGTTTCAATGATATCGATCATCTCTTGCTTGTCTTCAAGCACCCAGTTCAACTTGTTGTTGTTACCCGTGCCAAAATCACACATCATGTGTTTATTCCGGTAGAAGAACATGATGGTCATTGGGTCAAAGAGTTCGTACATCGTGTTGAACTCGGGTACCTCGTCGATGTCGCAGAGGTAGATGACAGCGAAGTCTGGTTGGGCGGTTAGTCACTGAGGGTTTTTTTTTCCTTGCCAGGGAAGAGGCTTGGGAAAGAGAAATGGATGGAACATTGATTTCTTGACGTACTCTTCACACGTTCGGCGATCTTGAAAAGGACTTCGTCTTGACGCATGCCTACAATTCACTGTATTAGCACTGTCTTATTCTGATAAAGAGAGATTCGTGAGATGTCCTACAGTCAACATCGTGATCACGACCGAAACGGATGACCTATACAGCTCTGATTAGCATCATCTGCTATGCTCTAGGACCTTGACTTGGTGATATGTATACGCACCACAAGTCTGTCCTCCTCGGAAAGGATGGCCTGGTCGACATGCCAGGCCGTACGCAGATGCGGGAGAACGACGGAACCCATGTTGACGACTTGTAGTCCTTGAACGCTATGTATAGCACTTCTAGTTGGTGTTATCGAGAGGAAGCCGTTGGTGTTCTTGCAACTGGCAAGTGATGTAGTTGATAGAGATCACGTGGACGAGGGGGTAGCAACGAAGGAGTTGCTTTGCTTGCTCCTTCTCGAAGTTTCGGATGAGGCTTCTTAACTAATTGCTCTACGGCCCTAAGTACAAAACATATTGACAAGACATTTAACTCAAAGTTTACTAATCGCACTTTCTTCTCCAACCAGCCGGACAAGCCGACCAAATTGATGAAAAAAGGGTTGTTCGCGTCGATCGGGGATAGTGTAAGCCCGATGACACTGTGCAGCAAGACATGCGCAAGCACAGAGGTCTCGCCACGGGGTGCAAAAATAAGATTAATCAATGTTGTGTTCCTTAGAACACTTTCAGAGATTAAACTGAAAAGAACAGATACTACACTTGATCTAAGCCAAAAGGCAAAGAGAGCTGGAAAAGAAAAGAAAAAAATTTCAAAAGACGGGGGGCGCGAGAGACTTATATATTATTGGCCAAGTGGCCCGTGCGTAACTCACAGGCTAGTGCCATTGAGGTGGCCAACAAGCGAGAACTACCACCATGACTAAGACAGCTTTCATTGGACCAGCCATCCACCCAGTCAGATGATAACCAGCTGCCCTAATCAGCGGACTAAAAGCCCTATCCACATACCCAAAACGGATTAGTGACACGCACTTGTCCGACTCGAGCATCTCCATCGACCTTCGACAATTTCTCTCCCCAAGGCGCAGGATATACACCTCTTTGCGACCAGCTAATCCCTCTTTCTATCCCCTCAAAAAACCCCCTCCCATCCGTCACAATGGCCCCCGTTGCTGTACGTTTCCTTCCTTGAAACCGCTTTGCTGTTCTCCCCGAATGGGTCCATGTACATGAAGATGTATTATCTGCGTTGAAAATACCAGATAAAATATCTCATGGAATAAACCCCGGGGATCCGACATTATGGAACAGTAGGCTAATCATTATTTTATCTCGGACAATAGGCCCGTGGTCGCAAGGCCCAGAAGGTCACCAAGAAGGTATGTGCTTATCGCAAATCGCAATCGCAGTCGCAAGTAAAATTTGCAGTTAACTAACTTCGCTTGTTTTATAGTATGTTATCAACGCTTCTCAGCCCGTGAGCGACAAGATCTTCGACCTCTCTGCTTTCGAGAAGTTCCTCCACGACCGCATCAAGGTCGAGGGCCGTGTCGGCAACCTCGGTGACAAGGTCGTCATCTCCCAGGCTGGTGACGGCAAGGTCGAGGTTGTTGCTCACATTCCCTTCTCTGGCCGCTACCTGAAGTACCTGTATGTTCCTTTCACTTTCAATAGCACCAGTACGACATGTGTACTAACCTGCACCTTTCAACAGCACCAAGAAGTACCTCAAGAAGCAGCAGCTCCGTGACTGGCTCCGTGTCGTCTCCACCTCCAAGGGTGTCTACGAGCTCCGCTTCTACAACGTCGTCAACGACGAGGGCGAGGAGGATGAGGAGTAAATTACTCCTTCCGGAATGACAACCAATAAAAAAAATCCAAAAATGACCGGATGACAAGTGTGCTCGCGTCAGGGGGTTGCCAATAAAAGGGAGCGATATCTGAATTGAGGGTTATCACTTGGATGTCTGGTTTGGGTATAGATGTGTTCTACAAGGAGGGATTCCTATACCGCTTTGGCGATGACTAGTGGTTGGCTCGGAGATGTTTGTTCCTGAAAAGGTGGACGCTCTGCGGCTGCTCTGGCTCGTCATGGCTACCTCTACTCATGACGTTATGACTGGTAGATACACGATTGAATAGAGCAATCTATCACTCGAACCTAATTATGTTCTGTTGTAAATTACGTAGTTGCATGTTGTACAATTTTGAGTACGTATAAAATGGGTATCACTAGAAGTCATTAATGGCGTCGATAGCTGTGCCTTCAATCTCCTAACGCCGAGCTGCTCCGCTTTTGGCCCGCTCCTGAACCAAGCCTTCCATGTGCAGCCGCAGCTTCCGCATCGGCGCCTGGTGGAGGCACAAGTTGGTCGTTATGTATGCGCCAGCCTTTAGACTTGAGAACCTTCCACGTCTCCGCTGCCTTGACCCTTACCAGGTCGCCCGTGGCGATCGAGTCTTCCTTGGAGTCATGGCCGCTGCTGCCTCCAGTTTGGATGTCTCGATCTAGATGTCTCCGGCATAGAGTCTTCAAGCTCATACGGAGAGGTAAGCCCCGGGGATGTGGGTATAATAGAACAGTGTCAATGATCGTCGGATGAATGATGCGGCAGGCATTGAGGTCATTGTCGATCGCATGACCAATGAGTGGCGTATCTGGTTGAAGACATTCAAATAGCAGCGCCCGGGCTGCAGCAGGCGACTCGACAATCTGCAATGGAGGCGAATCTACTTCCCCGTCATCCAACGGTAAACTCGCTTGAGAGCCAGAGCTGCCATAGGGAATGGCCTTCGTGTAGTGCTCTGGGAAAACACCAGAAAACCGCGAATTCAGGTCCAAGACTTCACCGATGGGTCTGACCAAGACATCCAAGAGTGTCTTGCCTTGCGGCCAGCTAACAGCGGTCAACCGAATCAGCTCCAAGCCTAGGGTTGTGTAACCCATTTCACAGTCGAAGCAGACTGGCGGCAGCCGTCCTTTGCCAGATTGCTCCGGGGTGTTCTGGAACTGGAGTACTGAGGCGAGTCGTTTGGTTTCCGATACCTTGAAGACATGGGTCTTGCCCTTGGTACAGCCAGCAGAAGTCCCTACCGACTCGTTGCAGCAAGAGAAGTACGCATCTTTGTGCCCTGTAATATGATCGGTCTTCTTCTTGGGCGGATAGAGAGGTTTCCCCGGGTGATATGTGCATTGTCCTCCCGTCGTCAAAGTTCCATCCTCCCGACGACCAGGGAAGACCTGAAATCTTCCTCCACATCGATCGCACTTTTCCCATCCCTTGGATTCAATAACACCTTTCCTGGCACCTTCCACTTCAGCGTCTGTCGGAGGCTTAGTAACGTAGCCGTACTGCTCGAGACCCTCCAGACGTGTTACAAGCTTGCCCGCCAATGCTATCTCTTCCTTTGCACTAAGCCCAGTGTCAAGAGGTTTCGGCTTTGACTGCTCTGGCCCGGGCGCAATCTTGTAATACCGCTCATTGAGATGGGCTTTCACGTCATTGGCCCAGTCTTCCTTGCTCATTTTCGATAGCTTTACTATGCGGAGCTTGATGACATTGGAGTATATGCTTGGGTTTTCTTTTGCGGTCTTTTCTTCTTCATCCAAGGCCATTGTTATAAGCTCATTTGGCGTAAGAACCAGGTATTTGTCCTGGCTCTCTTTGTCTTTGGCCAATTTGTCATTTAAAGCAGACATACCAGCATGCAGCTTTGTGAGGATAGCCAAACGCACACCATGGGGGGCAGGTGCTTTCGTTAGCATCCGAGGGTTTAGGCTTTCTCGTGGTGCTTGCCTTGGAGGGAGAGACTTTCGAGAGCCGGGTGCGCTTGCTTTTGCTGATGAAGACGTTGGCTTTGTCGGAGGCGTGACTTCCCTGGATAAAGACTGGAGCTTGACATTGGCTTGCCCATTGGTCTGGAATGGCTTGTTCGATGAAGTTGTTGACACGGGACCTTGACTGGGAGCTGCTTTAGAAGGCAAAGACGCTGCCTTGTCTTTTGGCCTGGCGATTTTCTCTTCACCCGGAGCTTGTACCTTAGATTGCACGGCTGTTTCGCCAGACTTAAGACCCGCCTCGCCCTGGGCTGCCGTTGGTACATCGGTGCTCTGATGGGCTCCGTGAAGGGCTGATTTGGAGGCGACGTCCTTGTGAGAGAAGATGCAGGTTAAGAGCAAGCAATTTTGTCCTTCAGGACAAGGTATGTCCTTAAATAGACCGAGTGGTGCAAACATTGTAATTGTAGGATAGCAAAAGATGCTCAGTAGCGAAACAGAAAGTCAGGTGTAGATGAAGAAAGGAGTATATAGCTGGTATACAAAGATTTCACTCATGCCTTGCGTTACTTCGCAGCACGTACTAAACATACAGACGAACTGAAAGAATTGCTTGAAGCTGTGTATTAGCCACAATGTCAGGTACAGATCTGATATGACTCAGAAAGCTGATTAGACTGTTTTATATGAGCTTCGAGCACATCTGTTTCATCCAAAGACTATGCTTGCCATGGGCAGTTAACCAGCCACTGCGGTGAGGACAAAGATTTGTGGGTTCCGCAGTGCCTTTTCGCTGAGTCCAGTTCAAATCTGAGATAAATTGTTGAACTATCCAGCTAGGAAGAAGCTTTGAAGGTTTCGACATGGAACAAGGAGGAAACCCTCCTGGAGTTAAGCCAGGTTCGCGATACGAAGCTGAAGCCGAAGCCGAAGCGGCAGATCGGGATGCGGTCATGCAAACCATGCAAACAAGCACCTGCAGCTGCACGATTGCCCATCGGCCTCACCAGTTCAATTTAAGAGGGTTAGGCTCTCTGCATACCAACATTATTTGTGTACACTATACTCCGTAATGGAGAAATTTAACAGATGGATAGGTGATGACTTCAGCAGGGCGGGGACCGTCCAGAACAGGCATCCATCCGATGACGTTTCCTTATCGTGGCTTAGTAAGGGGCCAATGGTGTACAGGCTGACAGCAGCCAGCAGATACTCAGCCTCCAACCTCAGGATTTGGCCGTGAGTCAATGGAGTTTCAAGAGGATGTTGAATGATCTGGCTACAATTACTCCGTATAGCATAGCAGCACGTTGACACCAGCTTCGACACAAATCACAGCCAACTATGGAGCTCGATAACGGCCACCCGCCAACTGAGACGTCGCGGAATGCCGACCACCTCTGTGTATTCGTACATGGGTTAGCTCTCAGTCCCCGAAACTTCCTGCTGAAACTAGCTGACATACCCTCTGATGGTAGACTCTGGGGCAACCCTTCCCACCTGGACTATGTCACCTCATCGCTGAGGGAACGATACAGCGAAGACCGTCTCCATATTCTTTCGGCGAAGCGGAACGCCGGCAACTTTACCTACGATGGCATCGAGGTCGGTGGCGAGCGCGTGGCACACGAGGTTGAAGAAGCATTGGAGGAGCTAGGAGCAGCAGGGCATCATATCAAGAAGCTGAGCATGGTGGGATACTCGCTTGGAGGTCTTGTGGCTCGATATGCGCTGGGACTGTTGTATTCCCGGGGATGGCTCGATAAGCTTGAGCCAGTGAACTTCACCACGTTTGCGTCGCCGCATGTCGGCGTTCGGAACCCCCAGAAAGGAGCCTGGGGCTTTCTCTGGAACAACGTGGGGCCTCACACCATATCTATATCCGGCAAACAGCTGTTCATGATCGACACGTTTCGCGATTCGGGCAAGCCGCTGCTCAGCGTGCTAGCCGACCCGGATAGCATCTTCATAAAAGCCCTGAAGAAGTTCAAGCACCGTACTGTATATGCGAACGTTGTCAACGACCGGTCGACAATATACTATACCACGGCAATCTCGACGATCAACCCATTCCATGAGCCGGACAATGTCCGCATCAATTACGTGAAGGGCTATGATCCGGTCGTGATCGACTCTGATAGGCATATCCTACCGTCAGACAAGAAACATATAACATCACTACCACTTGTTCCCCAAGCTCAGCAACAACTTATGACATACCTCACAGAAGCTTCCTTCCAACTTCTCTTCACCACCATCCTATTCGTCGGCTTTCCTATCTTCCTCATCAACTCCGCCATCCAAACCGTCCGCAGCCAACGACGAATCCGTCTTCATGAAGAAGGACCCATGAGAACCGTCTTCGGACGCTACCGAGTCCCGGTTGTCGTCCGAGGCGTGCAGCACGCAGTAGAAGAGGCTTTCGAGCACGCAGCTGCCGACCAAGATCCAGATTACCTGGACGAGAGCAAAGACGAAACGAAACAAGTGGCATCCGCAAGGAGAGCCAGGTCAAGCGAAAGCAAGAGCAATGCGCTCATCCGCGATGACAGCCCCGACAACGCCTCTGAACCGCTACTCGCCCGCGAAAGCCAAGAACCTCAAGAGTTTTCAACCCTCGCATTGACACCGGATCAATTCGCCATCATCGAGTCACTGAACTCCGTGGGCTTCCGAAAGCACCCGGTCTACATTCATAATCACCGACACAGCCACGCGGCGATTATCGTCCGTATGCCCAAGCCGGGATTCGACGAAGGCAAAATAGTCATCAAGCACTGGCTTGATCAAGTTTTCGAGCTTTGACGATTGCCCGGACGATATAGTTAGCTTACACGAACCTCAGCTGCTCATGCAACACCACTTAATAGACTTTCCCCACTCACATCACCCCCCATCGCCTCACTGTACTCCGTCCTACACTATACAGAAGAAGAGACATACATAGACCCTAAACCAAATACAGCTCCCTAATATCAATGCACAAGCCATAACCGATCCTACCCGCTCCACTGCCACAATACTGTACATACTACAGACGCAGTACTCCGTTCCGTATCGAACACACAGATCCCCATATAGCCCCACATTCCCCCCTCCTCCCCCAAAGCAACATCCCTCACTAGCGCAACAGCACACCACACAACACAACACAAACAATAGTAAATCCCAACTAGGCAAGTAAGTCGAGCATCTACTCCGTAAACTATAGAACAGATACAGATAAACTTCCCTCCATCCTTACCCACCTACACACACCCCCACATGACAGCGACCACCGCACCACCATATATCCATTGAGTGCCATGTCAATCATTATGTACCCCAGACCCGAACCCCGAACCCAGCAGCGGAAGAGAGATGCATTACCCACTTGAATTACCAGATAACCAGACACATTATGCAATGCAGCATATCCTGCAAATAACCGCATGCATGCTAAAAAGGAAAGAAAAAAAATGAATGGAAGGAAGATGCCCCACCGCGCTCGGAATCTTCCCTTCTCCTTCCCCCGCATTTTCTTCCTCCTTTCTTTCTTTCTTTCTTACATCTGACGTCTGCCGTGCAGCTAACTAGCTATCTTACGCACGGATGGGATACTAATAACTATATTATCTTGTAGTATTAGAGGGGAGCGGAGTGCTGGGGAGGGGGGAGGGGGGTATACTACTAACCAGTAACCACACAAGTAAGGGAAGTCAACTAACCTTATTCGGGATGTTTAATGTGGTTACTAGGTGGTAGTAGTATGGGGCGTAAGTTATCGGAGTTGCCTTATTGGGATGTTCCGTGAGATTGTGTGTAAGTTTGCCGTTGGGCGAGTGCCGGTGTCGGCTTGTGGTGGGATGGGATTGGATAATGAATGAATACTAGACTGGGTTGGGGTTAGGATGTTACACAAGGATTTGATTCTGAGTATGATGTTTTCTTGGGTTGATTAGGTATGGAAGGAGGAGTGGATGGGCCGAGGTAGTTAGTATTTTGGTTGATAGGATTGAATGGGTAGAGTGGATGTGGTGTGGGTGGGTACTTGAGTATTTCTTTACCCATTCTGTTGTAGAGGACTGATACAGGGGACCAGGGGGGTTGTATCCATGTTTTCGTTATTCTACTTTCGGGGTTATGGCGAATGCTTACTATTAGTAATCTAATGGGTTGAGGTGCTGCTAGAGGGAGAAGTAGGTAGTAAGTAGTCTTTATGATGAAATTCGCTAACAATAATAAAAGTGTAGTAGAAAGATGAATGTAGTAAAAACCCAATGCTCAAAAAATACATATCTGTCATACATTCATAGCATAGAGGTATCCATAAAAAAGTAATAGTAAACAAGAATGATAGGAATCTACATGTACCACATCTGTATCATCCAACTACCATCGGTAGAAAAGAAATCAGTTAGGCAGAAGGCCCGCTTCTAGCTCAAGTTCCGAGTCAACATCGTCAACGAAAGCCGACCCGTCTTTCTTCTCTTTGGCCATCTCGCGGTCAATGGCGAATTTGACCGCGTCTAGGATATGGTTGCAAGTCTTCTTGGGTGGATAGCGAGGGATAGTGCCCTCTTGGTACACACCGGTCTTGACCAGGATGGAGAACCAGTCGGCGTCACTGGTCTCGTTGAACTCGTTCGTGCCTCGAATATCTGACTCGGGGGTATCGCCCACGAAATACACAGTGCTGGGTGGCTTGTTGATGGCATGGGTGTTCTTGCGCCATTGTCGCAACAACCGCGTAGCGAACTGGTATGTGCCGAGTTGGGGCTTGCCAAAGGCGATTGTGTTCAACTCCTTGCCCGTGACGGCTTTGTACAGCGCCTCAAGGGAGGCTCGGAGAGCTCCCATGCCGATGCGGACATGTTCGTGGGAGGTGGACCAGACCACGTCGTTGTGGGAGAAATACACTGGCGGGCCCTCGTCAAAGGAGTCGGATCGGGTGTCTAGGTGGCCATTCTTGGACATTAGAACGTCGAGGATAATCTGCTGGTCACCGGCCCAGTCCCGACTATCAGCAAAGACAAAGATAGCCTCGATCTTCGTCTTCGAAAAGTCTCGGACCCGGGAGTTCTTGTATTCTTCGTCGGTCAACTTCCGGAACGGTGTAGTGTCCTGTCTAGTCTTGATGATGTCTCCAGGGGTGATGACATCCTTGAAGCCGTAGCCTTCGGCTACAATACGGCACTTCTCGCCCTCCCCACCAACGACAAGGACCGTATGGTACCTTTCGGCCATCTCACGCATCGGGGTATGACCGCAGATGAATTGGCCGGGTGAGACTTCGAGCTCAAGCTGTCGACTGAGATCAACGCATCGTTCCTCCTCTGTCTTGCCTCCACCGTTTGTGACAAAGATGTATGGACTGGTAGAGCAGTCAGCACATGGACTACAATTTGGAAAGGTGCACCGCTATAGTACGGTAGAGGGTATCGATACTTACACTTTGATGCCATACGGATTCTCTCCATTGATATACCTGAGCGCGCTGGCAGCTTCAGGGATAGCCTTACCGCCTCTGATAAGGACTCCGTCAATATCAAAGGCCAAGGCAAAGTCATCGGCAGTGGTGAGGGCCTTCTTAGTCACAGGCGGAGCAACTCGAGGAGAGCCTTCTTCGGAGGAAACCTCTTCGTCGAAGTGCTGCTTGGCCGCTTCCAGTTCCATGGCTGTTTCATGGGAGATGGTAGAAGCCATCAAGTGTTTAGGAGGAACGACCACACTGGGACCGCCGAAGAGGTCGGCCTGGGATGCGTCCAGGCTCGACAACCGGCTTACCCGTGGGGTAGCATATCCGTCGGCTGTTGTCATTGTGGATAGTGGTAGTGGTGGATCTCCGGCGGGTGGCAACAATGGAAGAGTGGATCTTTTGTGGACCCAAGATATGAACAAGAATCGGTCAATGTGGAGGACAATCGACAACGACGTCAGTCGATCTTCAGGGGCAACGTCTTTCGGCTAACGCGAGGTCAAATAAACCGAAAGGAAAGCAAGACGATCAATGAATCCAAGCAATGCACGTCAATTGGCGTTGCAATGATGTACACTGATAAGACAATGTACTACACAGGAAATCAAGTTCTCAGGGGAATTGATTGTGTGCAGCAAGCAACAGAAGAAAGAGGAAGTATGATACACCAAATGAAGAGGCAAAGTAAGAAATGGATACAGTGGAGTGAGAAAAGTCTGAAGAGATAGAGGGGCCACCTCTTGACAGACAATGGGATTCTAGAGCCATTATATAGGAGTCAACGAGCAAGCGGTGGAGGACGCCTAGCATATTCTCCCTTGGGTGATGTAGCCCGTGGCGCCGTCATCGACCGCGTCGGGACAACAAAAGACTCATTCTCACTGGTGAACTGGAAGTTTTGTTCTCAGTAACGGTTGCAGTTTCTGGTTGTTCGAACCCCACTTGCACCCAAAGTTACAACATAGTTGAATTGTTCCTATTTGATCATAGTGTCTAGTAGTGGTGCGTCTGAGAACTTAGTAGAAGCCAGTCAGCCATACATATCGAAGAAGAATCCTTGACCATAATAGATGATGATGGGAGAGGCTGACATTGTGATTCGCTCCACGGAACGGTCAAGGCGCCAACTCGGCACCGGCAGTCAAAAGACACGCCCGGGAGGTACCGTGCAAAAGGAAAACACAAATAAAAATAAAAAGGAAAAATAAAAAGGGAGGGGGGCTTGGAATGGGTGATTCAAACTTACTCGCCATCCATCCATCAAGAAAAACCGGATGAAACCCACTCGTTCGGCGAAAATGAGAATGGGTGAATTCGGATCCTTGATCAAGTTCGGGGACTGATATCATGGCACGGAAGCAAATGAGGAAGAGAGAAGAAGAGAGAGGAAGACGGCAGCGGGAGACAGATTGACATCAGTTACAATACCGGTTCGTTTACAGTTGAGTCCCAACACCAATATTACATAATACAGCTATACTATACTATACCACTATACACTTAACTATCCCTACAGTCGAGGAACTATAGTACAATGTAAGCGGTAATTGTGCAGTTTGTATGCCCAAAACACACCCGATCCCCCCCATCTTCATCAGCGCCAATGACGCCTCCTCGTGGCCTTACTTTCCAGCTATTCTACACTGTAACCTCCCCAAGCCATCGAGATCATTCCCGCCCTGAGCAATCAACCGGACTGGCAGGGATGGGGGGGAGGGGAAAGAAAAAAGAAAAAAAAAAAAAAGGGAACGGACCGACTACCGAATGCACGAACCTACTTTCATCCATCCTAGTCGTAGTCTCCTCAAGCCACCATCTGCGCGAAGGATTGTGGATGGATGTTACTTTCCGAGCCTCCTCTTTTGCCAGTCCGCTAACCAGTTATCTTGTGCTTCTCCAACATGAGGTCACAGCCAACCATGATGCTCAAAGTGGCCCGGAATTCCCTACACCAAGAATAGTGCTGCCTCACTGCCTCAGTCATCCGCCAGGGGCTGATCACTGCTTCTGACGTCATGGCGGAGCTCTCCCGGCCGCCGTCTGTATTGTTACCGTATCAGCAATACAACCCTGCACAGAGAATAGTGGCAGAGAGTGGATTCACATGGAAAATCTGCCTTTGCGGTAAACTTGGAACTGTGATTACCTTTTGACACTGCGGCCTAGTGGAAAGCATCATCCTAAGACGCTACGTTTGGAAAAGGCCTCTGCAGCCCTCCTGATTCGTTGCGTGATTTTCTACGCTGAGCTGACTGCAGCCTTATCTGACTCACAACACAGCGGACGTGGATATCTCATCAGACATCTTTCTTTGAAACTAGTGGATGAGAGTCTCCCAAATGACAGATGAGATAGTGGGGCGAGGGTCGAAGCCCAGAGTCCGTCCGTAAGTAGTAGTATGTGCACAATCAGATTCGCTGCCTTTTCCAAAGCCCATATCAAGATCCACCCATAGTAGCCAATGCATATATATACACTCATAAGAATAAGACTGAAACATCAATAAATCGCCTTAAGAAGATCTTAAAGATACCTGGCTCCACCAAGTGAACATATGTCATAGTATCATACAACAGAAAGGGAAAGACCGGACCCCAGAAGCATGTATATATATATATGTATTGTCATGTGTCTACCGAAGACAAAGTTCCACTCGTAGCCAAGGCCGGGAAATGGAGCACCCCTACCCCGTAGATTGGTACGTACCCCGTCAATCCACGCGCAGTATTAGATCTGACCCGCTGCGGGATGGGGTTACATTTCGCTCGTACGGCACCGGCTTCCTCTTCGGCATGTGGCCCCTCACGCTCGCAATGGAGCGCAAAGAATCGGTGGACTGTCTGCGTGTTTGGGTCTCCAATACAGGCCCTGGATCATGACCAAGCCAGTAGTCTTCAGGTGAGTAAGGTGCACTTAATCCTCCCGCATGTGGCTTCCGCCGAATTTGGACTCGTTTGATATCGTCCCGTCGTACAATCCGCGGGCGAGAGACAATTTCTTGTCTGGGACTGACTGCCCGAGAGAATGGCATCCGGGGAAGACCGGGTTGGTCACTCGAGACAAGCTCCCAGTTCGGTGTAGGAGATTCTCGCGTTGGCGTTCTGATTTCACGCACCGGCGTGAGTGGCCGTAGATTTCCCGAATGCCGGGATTCGCGGTCCAATCTGCTCGTCGAGCCGTTGATGTCGACGTCCTCAAAGTTGTCATCAAGGTTGAACAACATGCCACTGTTCATGTCCATGCCACGGAACGGACCACTTGCAACACCCTGCGACGAGGGCGGTCCGACAAGTCTTACATGTCCCGCACCGCGCTGCTGCCGGTCCCGGTCGACAAATTCCCCAGCGTCCGAGATCGGAGAGCTTTGTAGCAGGCTTTCATAAGTGTCATCGTGATTGGAGGCCTGAAACTTTGATTGCCCCTCTGCATAGGTAGGTCTCTTTCGGTAGTTCGGACCTCTCATAGCAAGTTTTCCATCCTGGCCTTCCCCAAAACCGTGGAGCATTGCACGAGGATGCGCAGGCAATCCAGCCATAGGAGCCCGGTTATACCGCCAACTATCTTGAGCTCGGCTTGACGAAGTCGGCTGACTTAGATTCTGGTATGGCGCACCAAAGGCGCTCCGTGGCCTTGTCATATCCTCTTCGAATAGAGTCGCATGGCTGTGGGGTCTGGGCTGTTTCTGACGACTTAGCCTTAATGGTTCCGGGTAAAGTCCCAACGTTGGCTTATCAGGAAGTAAATCTGAGATCGTCCTTGGAGATGACTGGCTCAATGATCCCTCTGCTTCAGAATTAGAAGTCAACGCAAAACCAATCCTGTCGGCACTATACACCCCCATGGGACTATCATTATGATGATTACCAGGGCCCGTAACAACGACTGCAGGTGTCTGAGCTCTCGGTTCAAACGGGGTTATCAGTCTAGAGGTTTCGGAATCCCTATCTGTTGTGCCGGGCATAGGACGAGGCCCAGTTGGCCGTCTTGGTGGGAATGCGAAATCCGGAGGCTCTGGCATGACTCCTCCGATCTCGAAAAAGTGGTCCTTCTCATCCTGTTTCCGACGCCTTACCTTCCTACAACAGAAGAATATGATAACACCAACAATAAAGAATCCCGATATTCCAGAAGCAACCGAAACTCCAATCACAGCAGCAGGTTCCAGCCTGCTGTCAGATGCGCTCGCGGATGCCGACTGGCCACTACTGGTAGCGCTACTCGTTGTCGTGAAGGGAAGTTGCGAAGTAGGAACCGTCAACGGACTTCGGAAGGTCTCAGTAGTTACTGAGGTATGCTCCGTACTAAAACTTGTCGATTGTGGGAACGTACTAGAGCTAGAGCTCGAACCAGTGTCGGAGGCCGAGCTGGAGCTGGAGGTAGATGGCACCGTTGCTGTCGTCGTTGTTGCAGTCTTTTGCGTGGGGCTTGATCCCGTTGGCATTACAGTGGCGGTGATCGTAGCATGTGTCCGTGGCAAAGCTCCAGGTACCGAGTCGCAAATGTCGTACAAGTCGGAGCTGAAGACTGTTTTCATAGAACATAAGGATAGGCTACAGCGAAATGCCGCTTCGCCAAGTGTATAGCCGCTTGTGGTATTCGTCCGACAAAGACAGTCGAGATCCGCCTCCGAGCATGCATCTTTTGGGTAATCAGAGGATATGAATTGTTCGACGCAGTCTGCCGCACAGCCTGGAATCAGACTGGACAAAGATGTTGCTGATGCGGTAGGATGAGTAGTCTGGGAACCATAGGCGAGGCATATCAGTGTCAACAGTATTATCATGAATGACCGTCCAGCAGGTAAAAACATCTTGTGAAAGCATCTTCGTTCTCGGTTAGCAGACCATCGCCGCCGGGTATAATGCAAGCCAAGGAGTCGCGAACGGGAGGTCACAGGGTCAATAAAATACCTATGCACATAAAAAGTGGCGCTACAGAGGAATTTCAACCCCTGGAGTCATTGATAACCGTAGAATATCATCCTAAGATGACCAAGAAAGACAGAGCGCAAAGAATATTGAGATCTGGAAAAGTGATGATTTCGCAACAGCATGGAGAAGCACCAACTTCAAGACAACAGCGTCTGCGAGAAGGGAGGAAGGAGGGACTTCAGGGACCAGCACGATGTACCGCATACTGCCAACATAGGTGTCAAACCACGTTTTGCCATGGCCCTGAGTGGCTGCGAAGAGAGAGAATCAAGGTTCGAGACCCAAATCAGGAGTCCAAGCCTCCTATACGCGCCGGGGTGAAACATGGCAACACTGTCCCAAACAGAATACACGTAGCTGATGGACGCAGTTCTTCAGGAGGCCTGTCGCTTTGCATGATTGGATTTTGGGTGGACGATGGCGTTGAAATACGCGCCGTGTTGGCGCCGACTCTGCCGATATGAACAGCACATGATGTCAGAGTGAGTTGATCCGAGAGGTTCAAGGCGCAAATAATTGAATTGGCTCAGACTCCTTAACCGCGCGCCTTCAGGTTATTGTCGATCCGAAGACCCTGAGAGCAACCAGGCACAACTGAGATAGTGTAGATCCAGTCAGACGTGTGGACACTGGGCTGAAGGTGAAACGGCGGCTAGTAAACAGACGCATCACGGGACTCGTTGAATGGCCCGATCGGCACTCGTGTTTCCCCATACCCACTTCAGCAGATTACAGGCTGCTTATGGCATAAGCAGCTACGATTCGAGCCCAAAATGTGGTTGATCAATAAGTTTGACATTGTCATCAATCATTAATCTGAACACTGCCAACTAGAAGAAAATGACAAAAGCAAAGCCCAGTGACACAGTGAGCTGGTATCATGCGCAATACATAAGAAATAACAACCCAAAGAGATAAGAAACAAGCAAAAAAAAAAAGGTACAATCGAGACCCTGTCACAAACACACGTCGCACTGAGCATGCTGCACATCCGCCCAATGACGGTGTTCATGTTGGCGGGGTTGCATTAGGCTAGACTCGTCGGGAGCCCGCGGAACAATACTAAGATGTTGACAACGTCACTCCGACCCGCTGGATTTTGAACATCCGATTCCGTAGGAGAAAAATCGTAGGTAGGACGAGGTTATTTCCCCTAATCGACGGGTTTTGAACCGAAGTGGGTGGTAAGGAGGGGCCTGAGGAGCGTTCTAGTATTTGAATATAATATAGCTGAACGAAAGGAGTTAGTCTCGGAATCTCCGGAATCCCATCACTTGGCGAACCACGTACAAGGCATGAATGACACCAGGAAGCCAACCCAGGATTGTCAAACAGATGTTGATCAGGAGATCAGCACCACATCCTCGCTCAAGGAAGACACCCAGCGGGGGCAAGATGATCGCAAAAATGATCTTGCAGATATCCCTATGATCCCAAGGACGTTAGCACACTCAAGAATACTAAGCACTCGTCATTCGAATAATTGCGATCGCAAGCTATCCCAAGACAGCTCCAGCTTGTCAAGATCAAGTTATGCGCGCGTTTGTATAAAAAATCGCCAAAAGATGACGTCGCGAGGAGTTGCAAAACTTACGAGGCAGTGAAAGGCATTGTGAATGGAGGAAGACGTAGATCTCTTCAAGTCGACAAGGTTGATGTAGGAGAGAGTAGTAGTGAGCAGTTGATGGATATGACCAGATAGAAGCGGTATCTGAGTGCAAGTAGATGAATGATGGAGAGTAACAAGAAAAAATCAGGAGAGGAAGGGAGCGGGACCACAGGGACTCTTTAAATGATGGGCGGCAAAATTAAGTAGCTGCCCTCCGCCAAACGCTACGGGGGGATAGTGCTATGCCTCCTACGTAAAGCACAGTCCTCGAATCCGCATTATTCAACGGATACGCCTTTAGGTAATAAAATAAAAGACCAATAGCTGCTAGCGATAATTATAATAACCGGGGCGGACGACAACGATAGTCAGGACGATCCTTTTCCGCTCGCCGTGCATGTCTACCGCTACGTCATATTTTTCAGTACGAACTGTGGCTGATGCCTTGGCTGCTTGCTGATTGGCTCCGAGCTCACCACGACCAGACTTCTCGGCGGGTGACTTTTGCGTCGTATCGACATTCTGTATTCTGTACCTCCCCCAGTCCCGTGGCTGATACTCCTCCAATTTTGGAACAGAACCATGCTGTCATCGGGCGGTGCAACTGGATTTGTTCAACGGTAAGGGGAGAACTTTCGCTCTCATCTTCTCCCCTTTCCTCCCATCTCCTACCTTTTCTTTGACTTTCCTACTTTTTTTCTTCTTCCTTCCTTTGTCATAATTATTCTGTTGCCTGGCAGGGGCTTGGCGCTTCCACCGTACCACCTTACCAGGCTGAGGCGAGGCGCCAGTAGTTTAACTTAGACGCCGCCAATATTGACTAAATCGCTCTGTGCAGTTGGTTCTAAAAGTCTGCGCTCTTGGTTCTGAGTGGGACGTACCAGTACATCATATTCCATACCTACTGCTTCTATCGGACTAGGTCTGGGCTCTACGCAATCCCTTGTTCGAAATAGGGGTATGACTCCGTGTCTAGGAGGTTTTGGGAGACGGAAAGCAGCATGGATATGGTGGGCCATCCAGCCCTACGGTTCCTCTTTGCGCGAATCACGGTGCCGGTTGGTTTTCAACAATGTTCGGACAGATGCCGCGTCCCCATTACGGTACTCGACTTTGTAGGATTTAGACTAGCGTAGACTTATTTCCAGGGAAAAAAACAAAGTGATATCATTTGACACGCATCTATCCGTCAGCGCCTACGCTAACTATGCAGATAATCACTGGATTAAAGCACGTTTCAGCCGGATTTTAGACGTCATGTGCTCGATAGTGAGATGTCTTATCGTTCGCATGTCGCGAATACATCATTGCGAATCAATCTTTCTACCATCATGATTTTGATAGAACGTACGCCCATATTGTATAATGTCTACGAGGATCCTGTTGATCATGACGGAGGCATCCATCTCACTATGCCATATGTCCTAGCGGAAAAAATAATTCTGACTAATATAGTAGAAAGAACAGATCAATCTGCCTGTTGAGACGACGCAGTATCATGTGATTGGCATCGCCGCAGTCCCAGCCACACTGAGTCGTTTCTATCTTCTAGAACAGAACATCCTGGCCACCCCGCATATTTCAGCCAGCAGTATAATAAAAACACTGCCTAGCTATGATGGTGGGTCTCTCCAGGCTATACAATTCAAAGCTTATGATCAGCCCTATTTTGTAGAAGCATCTCGCCAGAGATATATTTAGATGCAAAGTGACCCGCAAGGCGCAGTAACATTTTCCTGGCACCTGCAGATTCAATGTGTGCTTAGTTTTATGGAGTGCACAGTCAAGTTAGGGTATGTAGCCTAGTACTATCATGGGTTGTATGGAGGTCATAGTAAATTCAATCAAACCCACTGTATGCTCTGTTGGTCAATAAAACACTCTTACAGGGGCACTAGAGACCCTATCCTTAGACTCGGCCAATGGTACCGTCCCCTTGTCGGATACAATGCAGTTGAATGATGAAATGCCGTCTCCCTCATACATGAAATACTTCCGTTGCAAGCAAGCAGATGGAAATCATGTAACAACGCGCAGGTGAGCCTACAATATTCCTATTGCCTCTGTGGCTGTTCGTGACGAAGTGATGTGTCGACTCTTGACATCATAGTAGCAGAAAGCAGATCATTACTGCAATTCCCAGGACGGACATGGTGTTCTTGAAAAAGAGGTATGCCTCACAGAAGAGAAGGGAGTCAGAAGATATAAGAACAATTATGATCAAAATGACTGTGGAAGTATATATGGAAAAGGTATAAGAACAAGTACATAGATACCGTAGTATCCATAAGATAACTCATATTACAAAGCTAGCTAGAAATCATTAGTTAAAGAGTCTAGATCTAGCTATCTGTCATGTATATCTGTGAGATAAACAGTTCGTAAAATTAGCCTTATGAATATGATCCAGGAACTCATCACCAAGGACTGACCCTGTCTGTGATGAGCCAGAGATACTGGCAGTACTGCAATGGATAGCTAATGCCATATGGGCGACTAAAAGATCGAGATATACAATGTTGTAGGTAGGGATCTCCGTTTATGATCCAAATAATCACGGCTTGGCAGCTACTCCCGCAGTCTCCGCATTTCCCCATCACTCTCTTTATCTCGATGCTTTCTGCCAACTTGGGTATCGCGCACTTGCCGTATAAGCCAGCTTTCGTAACTTGTACTTCTATATCATATGTATTCAGTCACGTTCACTATAAAGTAATACTTCTACCAGGACCGTCGGACGGTGATTCGTGATCTAGTTGTCACTCGAGCGGAGACCTCCGATATCATCCAAAACAATGCTCAAGTATGGTAGCATTCGATACACACCAAAAAAAAGCGAAAAATTTATATTGTCCAGCGTGAAAGGTAGATATTAACTATCTAATCAAGCTGTATCTGTTTCACAACTGCTGCTTCATCACACTGACTGGGTGGGGAAGCTGATTATCGTGATGCGCGGCCGACGGGACAGCGCCAAGCCGCCATCACGTGATGACGCAGGTGGTCGGTCAGCCTCCCCGAAGCCTCCAGCGTGTTCGCCTTCACGCCTCCATCTCCGTTTCGCTTCCCCAAGCCTCAACATCACCACATCGCTTTACACGCGGCCTGTCCCTGCCCTGTCACTCTTCCTTTCGGCTGTTTTCATAGTTTCACTCCATCTTCTATAGCCCGCAAGGTCGCCTAATCTGTCAAGATGGCCACCGAACTTTGGTACGTAATCACCTCACCTACTCCTTTTCCCAGCATTCCGACCATTGTGCCCTCTTGTATCTCGATTATGATCATGCTTCGGATGAGTTTCGACTGGATATACTGACATGTGGACATGACAGCCCCGTTTACGCAGTAAGTCACTTGTGATCCCACCCTCGCCGATGACACCATCGAGCTCCAAGCGACCCTCAAGGTAGCTTGGCTTCGTTGCATCAAGCGGAGAATCCGCCACCGAACTGGCACCTCTCGCACAGATAACTAATCTCTTACCCGTATAGCCCTTCTTCGGTGCCCTTGGCTGCACCTCAGCCATCGTCTTCACCTGCTTCGGAGCTGCCTATGGAACTGCCAAGGCTGGTGTCGGTGTCTGTGGAATGGCCGTCCTCAGACCTGACCTGATCGTCAAGAGTACGTGGAAGCTTCACAGAGCTCTTATACCTCTGGGATAAGCTATCGCATAATATCTGATGATTAATACTAATCTGGTGATACAGACATTGTCCCCATTGTCATGGCGGGTATCATCGGTATCTACGGTCTGGTCGTGTCGGTCCTGATTGCAAACGACTTGGGACAGAAGGTCCCCTTGTACACTGGTTTTATTCAGCTGGGAGCAGGTCTCGCCGTCGGTTTGGCTGGTATGGCAGCTGGGTAAGCTTCTCACCATGACACCTTGCATGATCGGTAGCTTTAGACTAACAGAGTATCTCTAGTTTTGCCATTGGTATCGTTGGTGACGCAGGTGTTCGAGGAACTGCTCAACAGCCCCGTCTCTATGTCGGAATGATTTTGATTCTCATTTTCGCTGAAGTCTTGGGTGAGTCACTACATCAAAGCGAAACAACCAGTTCGCATCATCTAACCACGACGCCTCACAGGTCTGTACGGTCTTATCGTTGCTCTTCTGATGAACTCCCGTTCGAGGATCGACGCCACCTGCTAAACGAACCCTCCTTCGTTCCGCGCGAAATGGCCCAAGTGAACACCCGCCCGAGGATGCCAATCACCCACTATTCTCGGATACGACGAAAAGAGCCCGGGTTGCTCAACATGTGTTAACGTGATGCGGTTATTTTGACTTATGTTTTCAGACTTTATTTGCCGACAATGACGGGAACCGTCATTGTCCCGATGACAGCTGGAGGGGATGTGGAGGAAGTGGATTGCTAGGGGAATGGAAAGAGAAAACGGACGTTGAATAAACATATGCTTTCTCTTTCATCCAATACTCCCCGAAATAACAAAGGACAAGACATAATTGGATGTGCTAGCTAAGTTTGTAGACTAGGACAGGGTGGGAAGCTGTGGTAGATACATTGCATGGTTTTTTTAAAGGCCTTTGAGATTTTGTACTTTATGGGTGTCGCTTTACTCTTTTGTATCCTTGAGCTGGATCATAGGATTACTTGCTTTGCAATGCTTATATGTTTTCTCCTGCTAGTTTATTATCCTATGTTACAAACTTAGCTTTTATCTATTCTGGTCCTTCAGTATATCGTGAATGCAACTAGTGGCGAATGTGCGATTACTTGACGTGTTTTCGACCTCGTACACTGTTATAACGCAGAAGACACGGAAGACACTGAAACAAGACTTGCGCCTTTCTCTCCAAGGAACCAAACTCAATCAATATAGATACCATTGCAACTGACCTGCACAGAGCAAGCAGGGCAGATAGATAAGATAGCAATATGTAACATACAAAGTACTGTCTATTGAGCGGAATAAAATGCGGTGGACATCCAAATGTTCAAGAGAAAAGAGAGGAAAAAAGAAACAAGACGACGCCGTAAGGATATATGCGATATAGGCAGGCATATCAGTAGCCGCCGCCAGACACACACACATACATGCGGAGAGTAAAGCAATCAACGCAAAGCTTCAGATGCGTAAGTCTAGGGATGACTTCTCTGTGAAGCAGAGGCATGGGGGGGAGGTAAGGTTGTAAGTATGTAAATAGATAGAAGAGGAAGATGGATAACAAGAGGAAGGTTTATTCGGATTGTAGCGTAGCGAAAAGAGAAATTATAGCTGCAAGCAAATGATAATGGTCTCTGATGATTGAAGATAATCAATCAAGCCTTCTCAAGCTTCCGTCTCAGGGTCCTTGTCCTCTTGCGCAGCTTCTTCAGCTTGTGCTTCTTCATCTTCAGTCTGCGACGTCTCTTAGTGCTAATGGCGTGCATGGTGCGGTTGTTGCGGATACGCTCCATGTAGGTGGTGCCGGAATTGTGGGGGACATCGATGATGGCCTCACTCTCTCCAATGGCACCGGGAGCTTCCATCTCACCGGAGGGCACGAAGGGACCAGTGTGAGCCTCGTAGGTCTTGCGACCATCCGAGTGTATCGACTCGTGGATGGTCAGGACAGTGGAGTAGGTCGAGGTTTCCCGGGGGACGTCCTCGAACTCGGAGGAAGCCATGTTCTTCGCTTCGTCGAAGGGAACGGGTGGCGGAGGGGGGTGGAAGGGACGGAGACGCTTGGTGAGTTCCTCGACGGAGACTTTCAGATCGGAAAGGTTCATGCCATCCAGCTGGTTGCCTTCCATGTCGAAGTACTGCAGAGAGCCCTCCTGCTCGCCGGAGTGGGCAGCGGAGTTCTCCATGGAATTGACGGCGGAGGAGAGGGTGAAGATGACATCGTCCACCTCAGGCTTAGCCGGCTTCTTTGCGGTGAAGATGGCGTCGAAGGCTTCGGGGGTCGAGGTCGGAGGAACGGTGGTGGAAACGGAGATGGGTCGATGGATGGAAAAGAAGGAGGCGACGTGGACGTCTAGACCACAGGAAGAAAGATTAGCGCATCATATTTTAAGAAGTACAAGAACGGTGAATAGGGATTGTGGCAACTAACCATGCGGCTGGAGGTGTTGGGTAGAGGGAACACTGGGAAGTCGGGAAAAAGCCGTCGGCTGCTTGGAGCCATTGCGGCCGTTGCTATCCTTGCCCCTCCGTCTGGAAGCCTTCCCCTCACGTTTCTCTGCAGAATTCACTCCCTTCGCAGGCGTCTGAGAGGAAGAATCGACTTTATTAGATCCATCGCTGGGTTTCGAGGACGAAGAGGAGTATCGGCGTTGACGCACATGTTGTGACGAGCCGATGAGGCCGTTCGCGGAGGTAGTAATACTTTGGCTGGTTGCGCGAGACATGCCGGCGATGGGCCCCATAGGAGCCCATGCAGCCCGGCGCAGTGAGGACGACAGCATTTTCCGACGTCGTAAAGCCCAGAAGCTGGGTGACGATGTTGTCGGGAATGAAGAGGCGAAATCGAAGTTGGAGCCGATCATGCGGAACTCGGTGATTATGTAAGCCACATGTCGCCTCAGGCATGAGACCAGATCAGGTGACTTGGAATTGCAGGACCTATCTTAAGGGTAACCTCGCCTGACTTTATCCACATGCCAACTCCTGAACGGCCAAGGTATTCATGCAGAACTACCTATTGTCGCTGATAGAATTGGACACTACCAGCGAAATACTGATTGTTTGGTGATACGTACTACATTGCAGGAACTATGACACTATATTGATTTCGATTTGGGTATCTGTTCGTTCCATGCTCACTTGAGCCGAACGATTACAATAAGGGCGGCTCTACTTAGAAGAGTCTGAATGATCGGATACAGAAGATACAGCTCCCAGTTAGAGCTGCCAGAAGTGACACGAGCAAATGATAGGGTGGGTGGGCGCTCATTATGTCAACAGAGAAGAAGAAAAGGAAAGATACACGGGAGGCGTCAAGGTCACACAAAGGTTCAGCTCAGGAGAATGGAAAAAGAGCTCGTTAGGTGGGATGAAAAAGCGCAGACATGGACGCAAACAACATATGGTATATGGTATCAATCTGCATTATATAAGAAATGCACCCGTCGCTGAACCGGAGAAAACATATAAGCTTTTGAAAGGAATGAAAAGCCGAGACAAGAAGTCCACAAGGAGAAAAAAACGTACAGGAAGAGAAGGGATATAGTGAAGTGAATAAAAATAGTTGAAGGAAAGCAAGCGTGCTTTTACCGCTTGGCGTGTGCAGGGGAAGAATGGAAGTTGAGCATCGCTGACGCCTCGTACTCGCTCGTAAAAATTCAAATCGTTCCAAGTCTCACAGCCTTATAGTATGAGGGTGTGGAGATTCTTTTGAATAATCATGTCTTGTACCGAATCCATTGTTGCCTTCAACAACGTCGTATCGGTAGCATTCGTGTAATGGATATAGATTTCTCGGTCGGGAATCCGGTTAATGCCCCGGAATCGGTCTGCAAAGTATCTGGCTGCTGCATCGAAGTCCGTGTTGGAGCCATTGTAGTCAGGGAAATGGTTGGAGACTGGCGAAACATGAAGCTTTCCCTTGAACAGATCGATTTTGTTCAGGAACAAGATGATCGGTTTGCGCTTGAACCATTCGCCATTGACCAAGGACTCGAACAGCATCATTGCTTCATGCATTTGGTTCTGCACGATTGGAACAACGGTTAGTTCAAGTGCTTCAAGGAGGCGATAGGGGAAAACGTACGGCATTCTGGTCCTCAACGAGACATTGGTCGTAACCAGATAGGGCAACCATGAATAGAAGGCATTGAACACCCTCGAAACAGTGAATCCACTTCTTTCGCTCAGATCGCTGTCCACCGACGTCCATCATTCGGAAGTTCATTTGACCGAGTTCAAAGAGAGTTTCAGTAATTCCGGTTGTCCGCAAACGAGCCTGCAACATGTCCTGGTTGTCGGGAAGCCACCCAGGAGTGAATATTCGATCAAGCGAATCAAAGAAGCTGAAAGGTTAGACGGCTTGCCTGTTTGTTCAAAAAGAAGGTTCCTAGGACTCACTAATGCAAGTTATCATGAAGAGCAAACTCGTGGCCTCGAGCAACAGCTTTTTGAACACCTGTATCGTCCCACATCTCTCTGAGAGCGTCGCGAACCTTGAGATCTGAGAATGCCTCGTCTGAACCGACGTCTGGCTCAAGCTTGTCTACATATTCGGCTAACGGCTGATGAATGACGAACTGAATTAGCACACATACTGCCACAAACGGATCTCCGCTTGCGATGGAAAATCGCAAGACAACGGAGCAGATGAAGTTACCTTTGTCTTTTCAAGCTGGAAATCAATGTTTTCGGCGCGCATGATATCCAGTAGAACTTTGAAGGCGATAACAAGATTCGAGTAGATCACAGCTCGTGTTTGGCGTCGTTCATCCTCGGGGAAGCCGCCGGAATGTATGATTCGCATTTGTTTGATGATTGTCGACTTGCCCGATTCACCAGCACCTACATAAAATAAAATGCATCAGTACTCCTCGTCACCATGACTGCAAATTTGACGTGTTGCGTCTGGAAACTTACCAAGGAGGAGAATCTTGATTGTTCGGTCCATTACTTTCTTGTCATTTTTCAGAACCTTTTCTATCCTAGCGCTTCGTTGAACAGCATCTTTATCCGCCGTGTCGACGGGTTTTGAACTCATGCAACCCATTCTGAAGATTGATGTGCTCTCACAAAGCGACTTTCGATGATGTCTGGAAGTGAGTTAGTACTTGCTGATTATAGTGTGCGAAGTAACCAAGAATAGACGCAGCACAAGTAGAGTATGGCTGAATCAGGGATACGCCCAGACCCCGCAGTTAACCACACGGAAGGCTCTCTTTGAGACATGTGTGAAACGTCAACCAGAGAGACCCGAGGTCTCAAGCAATGAGAAAGAAGCGAGAAAGTAATTCAGCGAAACCTACTTAAGGCAGAATGTGATACCAAGCACTAGAACCAAACCAATGTATCTTTGACTAAACCCGCCCGAATGGCGCAAATTAGAACATGTCGCTGGCTCAAATAACGTCAAGTTGAACGTTACTCGGTCACTGTACGTACGTCGCGGTATTCCCTATTCCAAAGCAAGATGTCCTGGTAGGATCGAAGCCGAAGGTGTGTTCCAATACGACTGTCGCAAATTGTCCCCCGCTTTGTATGAGAACGATATCCAAGTTAATTGGCGAGCAGCGCAGCTGTCCGGAGCTTTCTGAAATCTGCGAGATATGGGATCGAATTAAGGAATGTGACGACGAAGGTCCCTCGACAGGCTAGGTTGGGGTGGTGGTTTAGACAGGTGTTGAGTGAGACGGAGTCGATCGCGGAAGTTGCGAGGCTTTCGGGAAGTTCGCACAACTTTCGAGATTGAAGTGCTGATGAACGGAGGATGTCTTCCAAATTGAATGCCGGGGAAGAGTTCGCTAGGTATGCTGACTGCAGCCTCGAGGCGTTCCCCTTTTCGTGGGTGGTGGGCGAAGATGCTGACCGCAGACGCTCAGGTGAGGGGAAAGATGGGAGGGAGGTAGGAATGGGGGAGGGAGATTAGTACATCTCCGCCGTATCGCAACCGAAACAAGCAAAAGAGCGGAAGACCAGGGCGAGAAGCAAGAGATAGAGAGAGAGGAAGAGAAAAAGAAAGAGGGAGCGAGAGAAAGAGGAGAGGGAGAGAGAAGGACAGTCTGGGAGACTCGCAGGTCTATAGTAGTAGTAATAATAATAATAATAGTAGTAGTTTAGTTAGTTTAGCAGTGAGCAGAGGGAAGGAGGAGGAGGAGTAAGTGGTGGGAATGTTGGTCGCGGAGTCGTCGCGCAATTCGTTCGATAATCCATTAAATCCGATCGAAGTGGGCCACGGTGCCAGCAGAGTTGAGCTGCTAGTAAGTTTAGTCCGGCTTAGTTCCCCTTCGGCGTAGTCGTCCTTCTGGGGACCTTCGGCTGTGAGTGGTCCTGACACCGGGGCCTGTATTACCTGTGAAAACCGTGTGAAAGATTTCCTGCGTCGCATTGGGCCCCGTTCTGGGAATCTAGAAAGGGATTAGTCCGCCGGCGCTGTGGCTACCGTCCCCTAAGGGCCTTAGCCGTAAGCCCTTGGCTTCTTAGTGTCGTTTAGTTCCGTGATAGCATCCCGGCTGCGAGCTCCCTATACAGAGTACAAAGTAGACGGCCTGGCCCTGATGATCTCACTGGTTGTAGACGAACAATGCTGACCCACCCCGGAACTCCATTCAACTGTGGATGAATGGCTCCATTCATTCTTCGTCCGCTCTTAGCCTGGTTCGAGCCGATTGGAAATGGAGTGCATTAAGGTCCAAATGATGCTTCTTACCGCCCGTAAGCTACTAGTCAGTAAGTAATAATCTTGCGAGTTATGGGTGGCACAACGCGTTATAATACCAAAACGATATTGGTACCCGGTATATACGTGGTTTAGTACGGAGAGCTCTCCGTATCCTCAATCATTCTCTGCAGCAACACACACTGTCCGGCTGGGGAAACATCCAGCAGTTGACAATTAATTATTCGGGATATCCAGCAGATGGATAGCCAGTAGCTACGTACTTGTTCGAGTCAAGTTCCGGCCTCGCCGATGACCCGCGGGCCCATCAACAATGGATTGACCATAGATCCTTCCTCTATGGGTCTTCGTGAAATTAATCCTCAATCAATCTGGATTTGAGATGGATCTTTTCCTCAAAAATGCAGCATTACTCCCACTATCAGAGTACTAGTAGTAATGCCTTCTCACGTCGCCATCATCCACGTGCCATATTACCTTACCCATAAATATGGTTCCGACCGCGATCCTTTAATCAGGGTATATGAATCTATATGAACTCAATAAAACTTTTAACCGCAAGGATCGTAAGGCATTGGGAACTCAGTTTAGCCCCCATTCCCACGGTCGCTGGACGTCAGCATCAGTTACCTCGTACCACTGATGGCCAACGACTTACTCCTGGGCTATGGATGCATCCTTGTGACTCCGGGGGCGAATGAGACCCCGAGTCATGTTCCCACCGGTGCCCTCCTGCGGCTGCCAAGCCATGCAAGCGAACGACGACGCCACGAGGCGCGAATCGGATGCGTTGGTATGCACCGATCGACGAGTAGCATCTGCTTTTATGGAGAGTGTTTTGGGACAAAATAAGTACTTTGTAAGAAGTCCGAATGAAGCCTGCAAGCCCACCTTGATCGAACTGACTACTATTATTTGTTAGCCCAAAGGGTAGAGGAACTATTGACAGCGTTATCGATGTTCGAGTTCCCGGGTCTTTAATCCGTCGGTCTATAGAGGACACTGGATGTACATCGCTCTTGGACCAGGAAGGAGTCGGGAAATTGAGTTGAACTAGTGCCTCGGGTTCTCATAGATCATCGCCAGTCTTTGCGACCCATCACAAACAAAGAGAAACAGAGGGCTGAGCATTCGAACCTGTCTAAGCTTACTGTAGAACCTTATCTACGCAAGTGGCTTCTCTCCAAATTCGCCAGCGACAATTTCGGCATCTTCCGTTGGTTTGTCAAGAGCCTGCGGCTGAGTTTTAGCAGACACTTGGCTCCACAGCAGCGCGATCTTCTTCCAAGAGTTGAGGAAAGCATGCTCCTGCGATGGGTGTCGAATTATTGAGCGATAGTTGCATGATTGCTTCTGTTGTTCTGTGGTCATTATCCGGATCTCGCATGATCTCATCACTGTCGGATCAATGCGAAACCTACTTAAGTAGGGGTAAAACCATGCCATGTGAAACTTTATTTACGATATCATGATCTGTCATGATTCGGAGATCGTATCGTTCATTGACCACCCGAGGTCGGGGGCCAGAAATCGCCGTGGAAAGATGCTCGCACTGAAATACTTTTTTATTTTTCTTTTTGGGAAATGGGAATGTGGAGATCACTTTCGCCTTTTCCGGGATTTCGAAGTCGTCTTGCCCGCCGGCCAACACGCCGTCGGGCCACTAAGGCAGGGGTAGCTTTAATCAGCAGGCCGTCAGCGTCAATCAGTGGAGGTAAGATGGGCGCTTAGCCTTAGCCACAGGAAACACCCTCCAAGCGAACAGGTGAAGCGGGAGTGGTGAGCAAGTCTACAGTAGTCTAGCCGACGCATCCATGTGTGGGTGTTTGCTTTTTCGATTTTCCTTATGAGATCTATCATATGCTGGTCATCGGCGCTATCCAAGATTCGTTCTCAAATGCAGGAGAAGCCTGCATACCTTCCCTCGATGAAAGGTGAAAAGGCGGATGCAAAAATTCACCTTGTAACAGTGTCCCTCCAATCTCAACGCAGTTCCTCCCGTGTCGCATTCCTTATCTCCTTCGAGAAGTATGTCGGAGTGGAACTCGAAAATCCTTCTGCATTTGGATATCCTCCGAACCCCGAACAGTTGAAACGAAGCTGTACGTATTTACTTTGGATCGTTGTGCACCTGACATGCGAATAGGGGCATACACATTCTCGTGCTTTGATTATGTTTCACGAGTGTCCCTGGGTTATCCTGGGCCCATCACTGTGGGTGTCAAGGCCATGCCTTCGTCGTTAGATCTTACTCGGTACGGGCAAGACAGGCTTGCCCGCGGGATGGTTCGCGGGATGAGTACCATGGTTCGGGCAATAAGCAGCCTCATTTAGGGCCAGAGAGAGAGCTTCTATGGTGGTTGAAGTACCCTTTCAAAAATATTATTGATAATAGACAATGGCAAACAAACCTTAGCCCATCGCTAATTGGGGTCTAGGCTCTGGCGGTCTCTTGGAGTCTTTGCTTTTAGAAGAGATCTACAGCAAGGATGGCCATTTACATCCGTTCTATTTTCATCGAATGAGCCCGATAATGAACAATGTTATCTGGTGGAAGATACTCCGAAGTGTTGTATTCAGGCTTAACCACAACAGTGAAAAAGCAGATGATGCCATCTCTGTGTAATACACAGGAAGAGTAACGATACGTACTGTGCTGATACGATACGATGTAAATACGACCGGCTGCGCGCTCCAACCACGTGCTTCACCCCCTCGTCCTCTGTGGGATTCTTAGTTTGTTTCACCAGTTTCGAGTTCCCATCGACCCCACAGCGAAAGCGGAGTCCTGACAGGACGCATTGAACTCCTTCCATGCCATTGACTTGGTCACGGTGCACTGCGACCCCCTTGCATGGCCAGAAAAAGAAGGACAGAAAGAGGAAAAAAAAGGCTTTTGCGCATAGACCAGGGCTAACTTATTGACGGGCTCAGTTAGTTGCCTGCCAGCCAGAAAGTACTGTCAGTGTCCAGAGTTTTGGTGTCTATCTGACCCGCCCTGAGATAGCCAACTTTTGTGAAATGCAATAGTCGAATGTTGCATCCATCCTTCAGACCCTAAATTTAGTTGAAGCATTTCTAGTGAATGGGTAGCCACGGGCAAACGACGAACAAGCCTTTGCTCATAACAATCCTTCTGCAATTCGAACCCCCTTTTTCCTACCCACTCCTCCGACCCCTACCCTTCTGGCCTCTCTTACCGTTCGTAACTTCGTATATATTACTCCACTTCACTCCGGCTGGATGGGGTTCCTGAAAACCGCATGGAAAGCGCTCCGTAAAAATGGATACTCCGTAATGGCAACGCATCCGCAGGTTACAAGATACTTACCTTATTACTTGGGCAGTATCTTCCATAGCTCCGACCAGCCAATGCCATTGGCCAATGCCTCTGCGGTCTCGTCAGGGTTGACGCCGGAATACCGCGTGGTTTCTATTCCGGGGGAAATGCAGGCCGGGGTCTTGCCGCTTTTTCTCCTCTTTCTAAACTTCTAAGTTCTAACGGCCGGCTTTGGATCCTAACAGGGAAGAGCCCCTTCCGAAAATAATCACTTCGGCGCTGATTAATGGACGATCCAGTCAAAAGTAATTGAAAGTCCCTGTTGCACTCCCGAGTGTCCTTTCATGCTTGGCTGGGCGATCTTCATTCAGCGCCAATCGGGTACTCCCATAAACACCCAATAATGATGATTGTCGTTCCTCATCCAAATTCTGTTTAATTGCGGCCCATCTTGCTTGCGGCTAGGTTACACTAAGGGACGGTCCTTTCAAGCGAACTTGATCCTGGGCAGACATGTCACATGCCGGGGGGAGAGAATGGTTAATACTAATGCGGTGCATACACTCCAGCTTGGCAACTTTGCTAGAGAGCACAAAGTTGACTAGTACGAAACCTAAGCCTACTTTGCGCATTTGTGGCTTCTATTCAGGACCGCGTAGCTGCTTGGGCTTCTATTCTCTCTCCCACACATACGCACATCTTGGCGAGGGACAATACAGGAAGTATCTCGCAATCCCGAACCTCGAGCGAGAATTAGCCGTTTGGCCAAGTGGATAACTTCCAATTGTGACCCGTATTGAGGCAACTCCTGGTGAAGCGTCCGCCTTGTGGTTATTGGCCAAAGCTGTCCGTCAAGCTGTCAAGTCAAGGTGCCCCTCCAAAGCGTCAAGGAAGCCACCAGGTTCCATTCGACTATCAGTACCTTATTCGAGCACGGTATCTGCAGGTACCACCGGCGGTGGACCTTGCCGTTGCTGCTAATTGCCTGTTGGGGACTCGGTAAATGGAGCCTTATTACGAATCACTGCGATTTCTCATTGGTAATACCTCAAATCACTTCCGTGATCCGTACCGGCGGATTCAGTCCGGGTATCGTAGAAATGGGTGCTTTTTTTGTTTTATTTTTTGGCTTTTGACTTACAATCTTGGAATGGCTACTCATCCCTGCCTGGCTCTTTCCCTTTCCATGCATTGTTAAAATATCGAATTTGATCCCTACCTAGCTAGGGATGTAGGACAGTCGCCGTTTTCAGCAATCTACAGTAGGAATCCCTGTTGAGTGACACACCAGGTATGCCTTGCTCCGTGGTTCAACCATGGTTAAGCAGTGAGCCAAACAGCCATAAGGTTTCAACCGAGCTGTCGCCCGGAGAATTAAACACTTTCTCAGCATGAAAGGGGTTCAACCAACACATGGAATGTAGCAGCATGTAGGTTGATTGGTTTTGACACTCGTGGCGCACTCTCGCCAGGGGATTGCACGACATCTGAGCGCTTTCTGCTGGCCAAGTTGTTACATCGGCCAAAGTGAGTAGTAGCAGTTACCAATAAGTTCTTCAGCCTTCTGGGATAATCCAAATCCGTAAATAGCAATGAAGAAATTTTCTTCCCGTCCACTCACTGACCAACTGAACCACACCACCCATTATCAACATGACCATCAACATCATCATCCCATCTCCTGACCCCTGAAGCATAAGATCCATTTTATGCTCCCCAATGCGCAGCTGACTCATCACCGCCCTCAACTGCCTGATTAGACAAACTCACTAACCAATTCACTAACGAGCCTAGACTGAAACGCCCGCATCGCTACGGATTTACAGGGGGAGGCTAAGGGTAAATAATAGGCTTGCGCAATGAAATTCAGAATTATTATTATGGTTAATTGTTCCAGCTCCGAAATGTTGTCCCCTTTCCCTCAGCTCCAGTCATCATCATCACAAGGATTCGCCGGTCTTGAACTTTATTCCGAGCTGACTGACTCCTAACGAATTTACGTGGTTCTGGTGAGATGAGTCGCATGCAGAACGGCCAAATACCAATTTCCCTGAAGAGGCCAAGGTCAGTCAGTCACCTTACTTTCTTTTTTGTTTTGTTTCTGATTAGCCACTAAGAAAAGTTATCTGGTGCGCTTATCAATTGCAACCCAATCACATTATTACCCCAGAATTTGGGTCATTTCCGACTGACTATGCAGGGATTGGATTGGTCCCCTAGCCAATCCATCCCGCACCCTGCATACGGGAATGTACACAATAGCATGAGATGCTACTACTATACCACCTACCTAGGTATAAAATAATTATTGGGCTACCATCGGCTGACATTTACCCACTGCAATCTTAGCGAAGAAAGTTCCACCCACTCCGAAGATACCACAGTGCACAAGTACAACTACAACCATCACAGCAGCGATTCTAATAATAATAACAACCCTCCCGATATTGAAAAATGTCAGCCCTACCGGGGGTATAGGCGACACGATGATCACGATGACGATGATGACAATGGCAATGACACGGAGATTCTGAGCAATGCTAGTGGTGATAGCATATTTAGTAGTAGCAGAGATGGACGACAAAGGTCACGGGTGGTGATGTTCTACGCGGCGTGTTATGTTGCTTTTGCCATCTTGTCGTTCTTCTCCGCTGCTTATTACTTTTTGTGCTGGATGCCCTGTATGTGTTACGCTTCTCATCATTGGTGCTGTGTTGAATTATTACTCTTACTCTACGGTTACTAATCATGGTCCTGGTTTGTACAGATGAACCGTCCAACAGTGATCCATTCCCGGGCCGTCATCGGTGATGCACAATATCCTCACCTACTAAGCTACACAGTTAACCGAGGGGATGCGCATATCAGTCGATACTCAGAACAAAGCCCAATACGGACTCCTATGCAGCGGGATACTCGACTGATACTACACTACACTTGGCTGGAAGCACGCCCGGAGTGGACAGAGTATTCAACTTACACTTGTATACATATACCTCTCGGTATAGAGGGAGAGAGAGTGAGAAAGTGAGAAAAAGAGAGATTCAATGTACATACGTCTCATATACATAATGCACAAAGAAGCAGATACGACAAGTACACTGTTTACCGGCTATTATCTGAATTCCATGAACGAACCAGAGTGCCTCCAGAATCAGAGAATACGAATACCCCCATTCGCAAGTATCAACTTGTCGCTGCTACACAATCTGCGCGAACAACTATATAACCAGGAGGATGAAGGCGCCCACTATACGACCTTATATCCTAATTATGGGGCGGGAAGATGTACATCTTCCCAAGATAGTCTTTGATCACTACGCAAAGAGCTGCAAATATAAGTTTGTTTCGCGCAGTGCTAATTTCAATCTAGTTATATATAGGACGAACTACTTTTATCCTGAGTGATAATCCGACACTGACAATCAATATATAAGATGGATAATACAATACTCTGTCTTTGGGCCAAATGTTTTTCTACGGCCGTGCAATTGGGCGAGCGAGGGCAGCTTTTAGAGAAACACGTCTGGGCGGTTTTCATCAGACAATTAGTGGTTTGCCCCAAGCTCTTTAGTGATTGATGCAAGTTTATTGCACTCGATCGCTAAGTTTCGATGTACTTCGCGCTGGATAATGGGATTACACTTGTTGGATCATTCGCATACCTATATATATATATATATATATTTTTTCTGTCTGATGGGAAACAGTACAAGGCTTCCGTGGTGAAGGACCTCGAAGTATTTAGATAATTGAGTGGAATGGTGCCGGAATATTCCGCACATGTTGAAGATACGATGAAGACCCTAAATGCCAAGTTGACATTCTCGGTGACCTTCAGTAGTGGAGATGTAAATCAGGATCTCGATACACTTCTTATGTAGGCTACCACTTCATTGTGATCGAAACCAGTGTTTTGCCATGCTATGGCGTATCCTCCAAAACTCTTCCCTTCTATTTATGCTCCTTATTGTATAGAAAGGCTCCCCTCACAAATTAACAGCAACAACAGGACCGTCATATTCCTTTCGGCCACGCACCAGCCAGAACACCGTACTCATCAAGCAAACGAACCCAAAGATCAAGGAAGCATAATTCATGTTAGACGGAGTGACGGGCTGGTAAGAGGGAAACACCATGAAGATACTGGTGAACAGCAAATACATGATGGCGACGACATTGATTGCAATGCCGGCGCGGCCAAGCCTCCATGGTCCATAGCTCACACTATGTGGTGCGGAAAGACGGCGCCAGAGGAAGAAGACAATAGGGACAAGGTATGAGATATGTAATCCTAGAACGGCAAGTGAGAGGATGGCGTTGAAGGCAGTCGTGGATGCGATGTTGATCAACCCAAACAGGATGAGCAGACAGCTAGTTGTGATTATTGCGCGCTTCGGCAAGTCTGTGCGGGAATCGAGCTGAGAAAGGTAAGTGGAAAATGGAAGAGCTGTGTGGGTCAGTGATGACATTCAAGAAGTAAGAGAGGAATAACGAGACTGTTAATACCTCTGTCGCGAGCCAATGAAAGGACCATACGAGCTGTCGATGCCAGCAGTGCAATGGTACCCAGCCAGGCTGCGATTATTAGAACAGCAGTTAGGGCACAGCTTCCAGCCAATGATCTTGTCACACTGCGGAAAATTTCGATTATTGGGTAGTCGGTCGGGGTCTGAAGTGCACTTTCCATGTCCCCCATGCAGAACAGAATGGTGAGTAGAAACACAAAGCCCAATATGTCGTTGATGGCAAGCGATCCCAGCATACAGTACGGCACGGCGGTTTCTGGGTTAGCCATCTCCTCGCAGAGATGGATGGCTCCGTCGTAGCCTGAGCTCAGAGAGTCAGATTATGCATTATGTATAAAAGGTGGTTGTCAACGAACCCGCCAAAACATAGCAGCTGGAGAGCATTCCAAGGCACCAGGAAAGACCATTACTAGGCCATCCAGTGCTATTCAAGAAGGTGGTGAAAACAAAACTGGCATCATGTTTGATTGGCACGCAAACCCACATCACGATTAGGACAACCAGAAATCCCACCAGGTGAATGATGAGAGACGCCGTCTCTACCAGGGAGAAAAGACGACTGCCCCAGATATTGAGAGCGGTGGAGAGACCGACAAGAGCCCAGTATATCATTGACAAATGCCAGCGCTGAGGCTGATATGTCTCGCATGTGAGGACTACAAGACCTTGTATCATGCCTGCGGCAAGATAAGGGGCACTAGCAGTAAATGATACCCAGCCAAAGGTTCCTATTATGTGAAAGAGATAAGCATCGTCGCGTATAAGCCTGGTGATGACAGTGCCTACCTATCCATCCCAAGGACCAGCTGAGGATATTCTGCCATTTGTTGGGTGCGAACTTTGCGATGAAGTGATACTGACCACCAGCCGTGGGATACCTAGAATGTAACAAAGTCAGATAATTTCAAGTATGAAGCAGGAAGCACCGACATAGACACCATTTCACCTAAAGAGGCTGCTGTTGCCATGGAACCCACAATCGCAACTACCATCTAATCAGATTTATTACGTGCGGCTGGAGAAAGGTAGGACGAACGAAGGAATCCATAGATGAGGGATACAGGGCCACCACTAACGAGACCCGAGGACATTGTACTATCGTCAATGAAACAGTTAGACACGAAGTTAAGGTGATGAAGTGAGCGCAGGCTTTACCTGGAGAGCGCCTCCCAAGTTGACATGAGAACCACAGTCAAGGCAAATATAGTAAGCCGAGAAAAGGGCTTCTACAGACCAAGCATCGCCATTAGAAGTTGCCCATGTCGACTTCAGACTAGTATAGATTAAGGAAAGAGGATAGTGACCTTGATTGGGATAACCTCTCCCATGCTGAGCCCATTCTCATCAATGTCTGCCGACTTGGCAGCCATAGTATCTTTAGGATTCTTCATACTGAATGACGTTTTATTTTTGGCAATAGGAGTGCCATTAGTTCACGAAATGGGAGACTGTATGGGTAGGAATGGGATGTATAAAGCAGAAATTCTGAGGTATAGAGTCCATAATGATTGTCCAATAACCGGTTGCAACCTAAAAGATAGGCATCTTCGGAATCGCCATGGCCAGTACCCTTGCAATTGATATACGGACGAAACGATTAGCGCTTCGTATCTGAAAGAGTATAAAAAGTGCGGGCCAGTGGAACGTTCCGATGCTTATCTTGACAGCGGAATTGCGGGGAAGCACTAGTGAGATACCTTATCATCTCTTGCGAAATTTGCCGCCATCTGCAATCAGCTTCATCTACTCCACAACATTGTCCTCACGAGCAATACTACTACCATACCCATTCTCTGGACCCACCATTGTCAATGTCGGACTCACAGCCTGTCTCACGCCGCAGGGTGAAGACTCGCAGTGAGTAGCTAAGATGATCCAAGTGTGCATACATTGAGGGAACTGACACACCTCTGATGCCAGATGGCTGTCTAAGATGCAAACAAAGGGTGGGACCAGCAACTCATAGGGTACTTCCTCACGAGTGTACAAGCTGACCTGGCTGACAGCGAATCAAATGCGATGAAACGCTTCCTGTGTGTATTCAATGCACCCGTAAAGGTTTCGAATGCCCGGGATACAAACGTCCTTTGAAGTGGTCATCCAAATATGAGGTGGGGAAAAGTGGCAATAATAGCGCAGCACCGAAGTCCTCCGAGCAGGGGCTTCAGAGGACAGAGCCCATTCATTCAGTGGAACCCAACTGGTTCGAGTCCACAGTGTCGGACAGTGCCACATGTTCCCTGTCTAGGCAGACAGATGTCCATTCCGCGCAGAACGAGACTGCTGCTAGATTAGACCCCGTATTCATCTCTACGGCGAACAATTTGCCGTCGAACGATATCTGGACTCCTTCAAGTCTGCTGAGAGATGATTGTGGTGATTCATGGACAAGAACCTTTACAGTGCAACGGACTTTGTCTACCCCACAAGACGATGACACTGCACTTCTTTGGCATTATTTCTCTAATGTTTGTCCTGTCAACTCGTGCTTTGACTCACAAAAGAACTTCCTCCGCGTCGAAGTGGGATCCCTGATAAGCTCCCGACCTCTGATTCACTACTGCGTGCTATCAATGTCCGCCGCTCATCTGACAACAAAAGAAAGGAATATGATGACGATAACACTGCGGCACCGGACAAGTGCACTCTCCTGCCTGAAGGCAAAACTCACAAAGGGGTTGCTGATACAAGAAATAAACAATGGCTCACCGCTCGATGAAATTGCCGAGATATTACTTGGTAGCATACTTTTGGGCATGACAGAGGTAGCCATCCTCCGTGTGCTTATGCCAGCCTTTTGTATGTCAAGCTGATGGCCTTTCATAGGGGTGGCATGATCCAACTCAGCTCGGAGTAACGCATCTCCATGGTGCACGCAGCTTGTTCCAGAAATGGATTACCACCGTCCCAGCGCGCTGCCCCCGAACAAGAAACACAATCACAGGGATCATGTCTTACTGGGAAGCAGTCGCTTCTTTTGTACACAACCAGTCTCTGGACTCAATTTCCTACCTGATACCGTACAGTCTCGAGGACGAGAAGTGCACCATCTACGTCAATCCCTGGACAGGAATCTGCACACCACTTTTCATAAATCTGGCCCAAGTTGGTATATTGACAAGGCAGCGATCTCTTGCCCGACAATTGTCTGTAGGGTGGGGCCATGTAGGCCCCGACATGCTCGAGCAGGCTAGAGCCATTGAAACTGCGCTCCTTTCCTACAAGATCCTACCAACGGATCGCATAGAAGACACGGTTGACTCCCGGACACCTGTCGGCCACCTCCAACGAATTGCACGCGTCTACCGGCTTGTAGGATTACTTCAGCTCTATATGACCTTCCCCGAATTGCAGAGAGGCCCTTTTGTCGATTCTAGCCTAAACCACAGTATCTTGAGCCTGGCCACCAATGTGCTTACCACCATTGGGGTGCTTCCGCCAACATCTGGAGTTTACTGTGTGCTCACGATTCCATTGATTATCGCGGGTAGCGCTCTGCAATTTCCATGTTTCTCGACTGATGTCCCCGCATCCATACTGCAGCAGGATACCTATCTTTTCTGGAGGGAATTCGTGCGCGAGCGCATCAAGACCGTCCAGGAAATTGTAGGACTCGCTGTTATTGGCCGTGCGCAGAAGATTCTCGATAGAGTGTGGTTTCTAGCCGACGTGAGAAGGGCCGCTGAGGGGCCTGGCCAGGAATGGGAATACATCCAGTGGACTGAAGTGATGAGCTCCGAGAAGCTGGAGTCGATCTTTGGTTAAACCTCCCATGGCACTAACCGAATTGGGGAAAATAGTGCGTCAACTAGAACAAAGGATGCGATTGGTCGGTTTTCATACTTATAGATGTCTTTCTAGTTGGATCGTCAATTTTGCCTGGCGAGGGATCTCCTTAAACTACGAGTCAGTGATACGCTAATATGGAACGGCTTATGCTCCGGCTCTTGATATCCTGAGTGACTCTTCTTCGGGATTCCTTCCAGCAACTATTGCTACAGCAAACCCACCAAGACCGTTCATCCCTCGGCTAAGCAACTGCTACATATATACTAGTAGCCTTATTTCAAGCCTACCAGAACACTCAACACTTTCTCCCCTCCCCCTCCATCCCAGTGTCCAGACATAACACCATCAACATGGTCCTCCAAGTGAAAAGCAATACTGCAATGTACAACGTCCCTAGATACGGAGATATACCCAACATCTTCTTCGGTACCGCCTCCTTCCTCATTATTATCATCGACGGGACATTGACAGCAGAAACATAGCGGACCTACTAGGAACAAGCAAAAGTGGCGAGAAGAACCCAATTGTCGGATCCTGGTTCTGCATTGAGAAAGGACCTGAATCTACGCCTCCGACATACTCGTATGACGAGGTTGGGGTGGTTATTAAGGGTGAGTGAGCCATATCACTTCGACGACGATGATAGGACATGTATCAACTGATCATTGTTCTGTTACTGTGAAGGGGAAATCAATCTCCGTGATGAAACTGGACAGACCGTTACAGTGAGGCCAGGTGAAACATTCTTCTTTCCGAGGGGCAGTACTATCACTTTTTCTACGGATAGTTATGGGTTGGCTTGGAAGTGTGGGGGTCGTGAGATGGCGAAACTTTGATATGTGTCACTGGATTATGATGTAACATTCGGATTAGTAGGGTCTAGCAAACTGATAATGGAGTGGATCCAAGAACCTTGTTGTTGCTTTACAGGGGCATAAAATGAATTGGGCCAAGTTCTGCGACGCAATGTAGCGGTTGGAGTTCACTATGTCTAGTTGGCATTGCATATGATGGATGAAGTTCCTTGAGAACTGCTTACGCGTGGACTTGAGAAGCCCAGAAAGGATCAACCAGTTCCCAGACCAATAGCTAAGCCCCGTTCTCCTCACTGGCAAATCTGAACCCACATCCCGCCTAGCGTACCATTTCCCGAATTGGCAAAATAGTGCGTCAACTATGCTTCCTGCCCTCATCTATTGTCATGGTTATCGGTTATCGGCTGCAATCTAGCATCGAAACATAAAATGTGCAAGTCTCGGAAGTAACGGCTATCACCATAGCACTCACTTATACTCGCTCGATAACCCATCCTCACCAAATTTTTGAGCGGCCCAACATCCTGTCAGACACCCACTAAGTATATACACCATCACATGAACCCTTAATAACCCACCCACCTCTGTACCACCAACGGTATCAACCATGTCCCGCTCCAGCGAAGGCTACCTCTGGACCCCCAAACAAGCCACCACAGGCCTACCCACCGACGCCGTCCACCCCAGCACCCCCACCCTCCTCACCCACTACGACGTGGTGGTGATCGGGGCCGGATTCGCGGGGCTGATTGCAGCCCGCGACCTAAGCAAGAAGCACAATCTTTCCGTCCTGCTCCTCGAAGCACGGGACCGTATCGGCGGCCGAACATGGACAGCCAAGGTGCTGGGCGAAGAGATCGAAATGGGCGGGACCTGGGTCCACTGGAACCAGCCGCATCTGTATGCCGAGCTGCATCGGTACGGGTTGCATCGGAACTTGAAGACCTCTGCAGGATCGTTCACGCCTGTGAATCAGTGGTTCAAGTCCAGCAGTGGTCCTGTGGAAAAGGTGTCTGTTGAGGAGTATCAAGCTACGCTTGAGCGGGTTGCATCGGAATTCTTCACCATTGATGGACGAGATAGTCGTGCGTTGATGCCGTATCCGCATGATCCGCTGAGAGAGCCGGCGCCGTGGAAGAGGTATGATTATCTTAGTGTGGGGGAGCGATTGGGAATGTCGGATTTGGATGGGTTGTCGGTGTGGGAGAAGGAGTTGTTTGCATCGAATGTTAGTACGTTTGGGAGTGCGCCGGTGAAGGATATTGGGTTTGTGGAGGCGTTGCGGTGGTTTGCGCTGGGAGGGCATACAATGGCTGGGGTGTTCGAGTTGGCGGGGGTGTATAAGCTGGGGAGTGGGGGATGACGGCTTTTGCGAGGGCGGTTTTGGGGGAGTTTACTGGTCATGTTTGCTTTGGGGCGGTTGTTGAGAGGATTGATCATGGTCGTGAGAAGGTGGAGGTTGTTATGAAGGATGGGAGGAGGGTTGGGGCTGGGGCGGTGGTGTCGACGATTCCGCTGTATGTTTTTTTTCTTCGATTGCCTTTTTGCTCATGCTCTGGATCTTGACTAACAGGGATAAACATAGGAATTGCCTCACTGATATTCAGTTCAACCCCCCACTATCCCCCCTCAGACAAGCCGCTATCGCAAAGGGCCATATCAACAAAGGCGCAAAGATCCACTTTAAGCTCCGCGAAACACTACCGGGCTGGTTTTTCACTGCACATGACGGCAGTGACTCGAGCTTTGTCTTTGCGTTCTCGGATCACAATGGAACCAGGCCAACAGGTCCATCCGGTACCTGGTGTATTGGGTTCGGATACAATGGTCTACTTACCGATAAGCAGGATAGTAAACATATCTTGCAGAGGTTTAAGCATGATGTTAACCCGGATGTTACTGTTGATGCCTATGCTACCCATGACTGGATGAATGACCCGTATGCGAAAGGGGCTTGGGCGTGCTGGGGACCAAACACTGCGTCGGAATACTTGGAGGAGCTTCAGAAGCCGCATGGACGGGTTGTGTTTGCGAGCGCGGATTGGGCGGATGGGTGGAGGGGGTTTGTGGACGGTGCGATTGAGAGGGGACAGGCTGCTGTGGGGGAGGTTTTGAGGGTGTTGGAGGGGAGAGAGGGAAGGGCTAGGTTGTAGGATATTTGAGTTGCCACTTTGGTGTCTTCTCATTTCTAGTGTATGTACGGTGGGCATGGCTCTTGGAGGTCACATCCAAGGCTTAGTATACAATGAAGTGTACGATGACTGGAAGTAATGACACGGACAGTAAGCTTGCTGTCCATGAAGAATAGAAGCAAAGCCTCGACTACTCTGTATCCGTGCATTAAATACTCATTGTTGAAAGATAATAGAAACACTCACTACTTTACTATCAGCATCAGTATCTACATCTTCAACGCAGGCTACAAATGTAACATCGGTGCTCCAAATGATTAGACCTTCAAACTCTGTGCATGGACCACATCGAAATCCCCGACGTGCCACAGACCAATAGGGATTTAAGCACAGCCTTGTCGATACTACTACAACATGGTACTCGGCGTGTAGGTAGCATACCGCTAGATTTCCAACCAATAGGATAGAAAATGCAGTATGTGAAGTGTTTGAAAAGAATCTTGCATCGTGCTTGACATGTCGGTGTGAAAGCGACTGGCATGATGGCGATGTACTCATTGTCCTGGTTCATAGCTAGTACTCATCACATAGTAAGAATACTATCGGTGATCATGAAAGAATTCAGCTTCTATCGGTCCAGGCAGATAAGCGATCAGCAATGATGTGTTGGTGCCTGCCTCCTTGCCTGCCTGCCTGCCTGGGTGGCAGTCTATTTCCTAGATGCATACGTCGGCAACTACTCCATACTTTATAGTAATTCCCAGCACTGACAGTGTAGGGCACATGTCGATCCATGTAGTATCTTGACCAGTTTATCATTTCTATCTGATCAGCGATGAGTAAGATCGACGATCTGTGACTTTCCAAAACGACCAACGTATCGGGGAGAAAAGGAAGAAGAAGGGAAAAAAAAAGATTCCTTGTGACTGGTCATCTGCTCCACTTTCCTTGCGCAAAGTGATGTGTGCCGTGTCTGTGTGGGATGCAAGTGACAAATCGGTATCGGTATGGGGATGAGGCATTGTGACTGGGTCTCATAGCCGCCAACTTGAAGGCCTAAAAACCTATCTTCCTTGTCGGCCATGAGTCATGCGGTCTGATGAGGGAAAGATGCCTGCCTGCAAATTGTTAAAAGTACCATATAGTAAGTACTAGGTACTACCTCTTTGAGCCTGGTGGCTGCATCTCCAAGAGGGACTGGCCCGGCCAAGATAAGCTTGTGCTATTCATCATTTGGGGAAAGATGACTACTGTAGGTAAGTGAGGGGCACAGAGCCCACATACAGAGAAAAAGATAGAGAGAGATAGAATGCACTCGGCCGTGTTACCGTAGCCTTGGAATCCTGTTTCCCACCCCAGATCCCAATCACGATTCAGATTGGGATCAGGCAGGCGCCGGGATTCGAGCTTCACTTTTTTTTTGTGCTTTCCCCTCTTGCGGGCGGGATGTGGGCTGTGATGTGCGACGTATCAAATTATGTGATTTTAGCCCAACGGAAATGTGATGAGTGATGGATGGGTTTACCCTTCGTAGGTTGTTATTTGGGCCTTGCTAATATTCCGTATAAGGTAGGATGCCGATTAACTACTGGTGGAGGCTGAGTACGCGGGGACTTTTTGGCTCATGCTGGGATTTGATTGATTTAGATGGTGGGATGTCAGCTGCAAGGCATGAAGAATCAAATCTTTCCGGTCAGAATTTTTCTCCCCCATTGTTTGCTTTTTCTGCAATGACGTCCTTGCTTCGGAATGCGGATACGGTCTGGCTGGGTCTTGATGCATCGGAATCCAGCCATTCTTGACCAGATTACCCTAAGTCAGTTGGCAGTACCTTGCCTCATGGTATTTTATACTCTACGCTTGGGCATTGATTCGTGTGAAGTTGAATGCTTAGCCATTAGTAAGCGGAGAGAAATGAAAAGACCAAAAACTAAAATAAAGTGTGACTTAATTTTCTTCCCATCACCTCACTTTCAGCTCACCCGTTCAGCCGCGAATTTTAGATGCTAATTTACCAACGAACATCCCGGTCCATAACGGAGTAAACCTGGTGCTTAACAGACTGACCAAAATCGGCGATCGGCCGAAGATCCGCTGCAACGGTCAGCCACTAAGAGGCAAGGATGAACTCAGAAAGGCAAGACTGGCTGTCAACCTATGATCCACTTCGCAGCTTCTTCCACCGGGCGTTCCTCCTCGAGGCGGTCATTGGCACTTAACGGCTCCCGAATGACCCGGCCAACGTACTGCTGTTTTCCCTCTCCGATCCAATCGTGATTCCTGTTCGCCCTGCCCCCCCTTTTTTTCTTTACCCTCAGCCTGTCTCTTTCTCCCCCTCTTCCCAACTGCCCACTTCTTCAATCCCTATTGCTTTTTTGGGACAATGGGCTATCCTCATTCGACGCTCCCCATTTTTAAGATGCCAAACGAGGGAAATTAATGATAATTTTAATATAGAAAAAAAAGAGAAAAAGGTACCTATCTTCATTACTACCGGTACGATCCACCTCTAATGTCCCTAGACTATTCTCTTGTTATACTCCTTTTGCGTCGCGTGCCCGGTGCCGCCCCTCATCCCCTCCTCACCCCCTTTTTAGGTAACCAGAAATAAAATCCGGGTACCTGAATTCGGTATTTAGGTGGTCAAGTAGATAGCGTGGTACGCCCGACGTCAAAAAAGCATCTGGGTTCAGCTGATGAGTGCTGTTGGTCGTAAGGAGGGAAGGGGGACAGAAAGAAGGAGTAAATAGTAACTACGTAGATACCACTAAAAGTAATCAACTAGTACTAATGTAGAAGGCTTACCTTGTCTCTCCTCTTTAGTTGGTGCTACTTTGGTGGCAGTAACGGGAGCATTTCAGCTGCAGGCCAAGAGCAGGCATTCATTCATTTTCAGCTTTCCCCGTAAATGGGATCTGAACACACCGTGACGTTAGCATCGGGTTCAGCCACTCTCATTGGACGCGGGCTGAGCAGAAGGATGAAAATCTACGGAGTACTAACTATGACGGTCGACGTGCAGGGCGGAGAGAGATACACTGTACTCCGTAGCTATGTACTACTACCTATCTACCGGCATGTATCGTTGCCTCGGTCTGGAGATTCTGACTGATCGACTGTCTCTCGTATCATTCAGCCTCGAAGTTCCGCTCCTGCATGGCTGCCGATCCGTGTCAGTTGATCATGAAGGTGGGCTTGGGCTTCATTGGGGATTTGTTTTAGGTAGTACTTTGTATCCGGAATACGGAATACGGAGCTATCGGGTGGCTACTATCCATCAATTTATTCTCCCTTTCAGATCATCTGGGGCTAGATATATTACATGATGAGTTGTAGATTACTTCGTAGTAGTGAGTGCTTGAGATAGAGTACTACTAGTATATACTAAACCGTATGATGTTGATATAGAATAGTAATGAATTCTCGGTACCGTCGAGTCCCTTCTGTTGGTCCCATTCAGCCCACATGAACCGTTCAGTGCTTACCGTTGCATGTAGCAGCGGCACCGCATGACGAACGTCCTGAAGAGTTTTGATTCCCCTCAGTTGATGAAAAAGACCCCACTTCATGTTGAGTGAGTAGGGGAGGGAACCGGTGATTTTCATCGACTAACAAACTAGCTAGACTACCTACAGCGCTACAAGACCAAGTAATTACTCCGGGCCAGGGGACTAAATCTAGCCCGGGTGGATGTTGCAGTTCCACGATCTGTGGTAGATCGACCATCAGCTGACCGACTTTTGATGACCTTGAAGGATTTGGCTGATCGGAATTGGAGTCGAGATACTAAGAAAGTACTAGGTTATGAAGTAGTGATGAGGATTGCCTATCGGCAGGCTCCTGTAAGTGGTGCAAGGGAAGCGACAGAACGGGAGATCGTTGACTGGCTGTACGAGAAGGGACTACTGCCGGTAGTCGTGAGTTAGTCGAATAAGTAGTAAATAAGTAGTAGAGAGTTGAACTGAACGGAGATTCCTCCGCACAGCAGCAGCAGCAGCAGCAGCAGCAGCTTTGAATGGATGACAGCTTAGTCCTCCGTAGAAGAAGCGTTCAAGTAGACACGGGTCGAATCCCCTCCCTACCGGCCTTTTCTCTCTCCCCCCAATCATGCCATGGAATGGAATCCATCCACTTTGACTGTTGGGAACCATGGTTCGCTTTTCTCCAGTCCCCTTTCCTGACTACGTATACTTGCTCTTCTCTCTCTCTTAGTTCTAGCTCTTTCTCTCTGTTCTTCCTCCTTTATTTTTCTATCAAACTCTCCCTTCTATCCTTTTTATTCCCGGTTGTGCAGCAAGAAAAAAGAGAGAGGTTCCGCGCTGTTGGAACGCGACCGGGACTAAAGCAAGTGACGGGCTACTAGTACTAGTTTCCCTTTTCCCTTTTGGAGCGATTCCCAGCCAGGCCCGGACTGGACTAATCCCAAAACTAACACTAAAATCTAAACCCTTCTGCTTTCTCTGCGCGTCTTTCCCTCTTCGCGCTCTCCACCGCGCTCTCCACTTCCTCCAAACTCGTTGCGCTTCTTTCTGATTATTACTTTCATTACTACTACTACTACTTCTATTACTACTTACTGTTTTTTTTTTTTTTTTTTGTCCCTGCTCATTACCTATTATTATCATCATCCGCATCATCAACAATTCCCAGCAAACATCAGCGAGCATCAGCACCATCATCATCAGCACCAGCTCCAAATACTCTACTGATTTCTCCTCGCCTATTATTGTTATCCATCGCCCGTGCTTTCGATCTATTCTTTCACACCCACCCCCTCCCTATATTTTCGGTATTTATTCTCCTAACCCTGATCTTCTCGCCCCGGCCACCTTTCTATTATTATCCCTCCGTAATATCCTGTCCTTTGCCCCGAGCGTCCTGCTCTCGATCGTCAATTCGTCTCGTGCTACCGCTTTCAATTCTTCTCTCAATGTCCGACGCTTATTGCCGTCACCCTCAATAAAGAACCACCCGTTCGTGCAGGCTCTGGTCATGTCGTGTCGCAAGCACCTATTGCGATCCCAACGTGGGCTGTCCCTGTCTCATCTTCCCTTTTAGTTCGCCGACGCTGGTGAACACGAAGCCTCACTCCGGCTCCCCGGGAATAGAGCCTCTTCGGGGAAGAGCTCCCGCCGCGAGAGGGCGCTTGCTGCTGATCGTATAGTTGCATATCCATGCCCGCGCTCATTATGGCGTTGAGCTCAGCATCTGTCGACCGTTTCCCAAGTGAGCCAGGTCAACCGCAGATAGATACTCTCTCAACAAGCGTCAAGCCAGGAACCGAGGCGAAGGTTCTAGCGAGTGCGGATACCCAATATGCGACAACCGATCTACGACGCGCCCACACGGTTGCCCACGGGAGAAACACCAAGGAATCCCCAACCATTGGCTTGAGAACAACCCGGGAACGGCTGGCTACTTCCCTCCTGCGGGTCAAGGACAGCCACGAGATATTGCGGAAGCGGTCCTTCAAGCGGCTGGATACCTCTCAAGCGCCTCGTGACGCCGCTGGGGGAGCTAGAGAACCGAACCACTTTACCGTGGGGAATGTCGGCCAGAATGGAAAGATCTTTTTAAGGTATGACCGTCGCGTTGTGCTATATTTGGCGACCTCGGATGTCATGATCACAATGCTAACACCCTTGTCACACTCCTCCAGACCAATTCGCAATCCGCCGACAAAAGAACCCTTCCCGACGCCTTCTATTCCTTCCCCCAGCCAATCCAGACAAGAACCCTTTCCGCACGGACGCGGCGGCCCCGAGAGCGATGAGCCGTCTAGATGGTCGAACTCGCAGCTCTCTGAGTTGCGCCCAGATTTGATCCCTGAAGAGAGGTGCGAAGATGGCGACTCCGTCCACACAGAATCGGCGCGTTCCCAATATCACGGCTTATCTCACCATCGACCCCGTAAAGCGCACTCATTTTCTTCTATCTCGGAACAGCGGTCAGAGTCGCGTGCGGGTCGCGCAGGGGAGCTTCGTATCTACATTGATCGAGCAGATAATCGGCCAAAAACTGCCAATGAACCATCCCAGCGTGCCCTGGAGGATTCCATCCCCCGTTATAGGTTGGACTTGCCTCAGTCCAGCCTTGACAATGAGACGGCCCTGCACAGCTCCATTTATTCAAGAACATCATTGTCGGATATTATGCGCACGTCACGACTCCCGCGAGAGTACTGGATTGGTACTCTAGCCTCCGACACCTATCTACGGAACCCTGAACGACCCTCCTTCGTCGGCTCGGTCTTTTCGGGCGCAGGTGCCATTGAGTTGCCCCGGAGTTCCGCAGTCAGTGAGAACCCTGTTTTCTATGAGCTGAAGGAGCCGATTGAACCGGCCATATTTGAGACGCTGGTGTCGGAAATGGACAAAGAGTCGGTGGTTCGCTATGCTTCAGGCACCAAAGATATCAGCGCTGCTACGCCGGCACGTATCGTCGCCCAAATATCGTCCGCGTCCTTCATGGACTATGAGCTTGTATCCGATTTCTTCCTGACATTTCGCTCTTATATCTCGACTAGCACCCTTCTCGCACTGCTTCTCGCTCGATTGCGGTGGGCGATTAACCGCCTGCAGGATGACGGCAGGATCATCCGTATCCGGACGTTTGCGGCATTGCGGCATTGGATTCTCAATTATTTTGTGGATGATTTTGTGCCCGAGTATGATCTCCGCGGTCATTTCTGTGAGACGATCAATAGCATGTACGATGATGTCAAGTCTCGACAGGGCGGTGGCATGAGTGATCTCAAGATCCTCATAGATCTCAAACGCTGCTGGTATGGGAAGTCTTCTCTCTATTGGGACTTGCCGAGTGACCACGATGTGTTTCAAAGCCCTGACGTTGCCATCCTTCCGGGTGACCGCGAAGCTAACACTTTGGAGATGGCGGGTGGCGGTGACCTGCTGGCCCTGGTGCGTACCAAGAGCGGGCTGGAAGCTAGCCCTGCGGGCACCCAGTATCGTCCGAATCATCACAGCCGAAACAATTCGTCAAACACAGTGAAGAGTGTGCCAATCTCAGCCGGAAGTGACCGGAGCTTTCAGGCAATCTCCTGTTCCTTGCCCCCCAAGTCTCCAAAGCGTCTGTCCTTGTCCTTGGCCAACAAGGCACCCCATCCCGTACCTCTTATACCGCTGAAGCCAACTTCCTCACGGGAAGCTTATCCGCCTTCTCCTCTTACTTCGCGCCGCTATCCCTATCTTGGACATTCTCACAAGCGTAGCGGCAGCTTCTCTGACTCTGTTCGAGATGATAGGGCACCCTTCTCTCTGGTCAACCCCGAGCAACAGGGTGTGGCCGCCAGACAGGAGGCGCTTGATCTCAGTAGTCTAATTCGAGGAGAGCTCTATCCTCCGGCAGAGTCGTACACCATCATGATGGCGCCTCCATCCCCCCCTCTTCCATCGTCAGCTAAGGACCTTGCCTCAGACCGCCGAAACACCTCTCACGGCATTCACAAACCGGCCGTTTCAACCTCTGGCGTCAAGACAATCATTGGCTCAATTCGCCGGGCATTGAATAGTCGACATGGCGCTTCTGGTAGCCTTTCACGGGCGATGAATAGACCGGCAAATGCATCTCTTCCGGGGAGGACATCGGCTCTCCCGACCAATGTCGCATTCGGATCTGATGCCTATAGAGGTAGAAAGACGGCGACTGGGGTCAAAAGGCCCACGAGAATCGATACCCTCTGTGACGAGGTTTTGAAGCAGTATCGTGCTGCGATCTCTGAACAAACCGATACTACAGGAGGCTCCCAATCTGCTGACACCCAGAACCAGGCAGAACTTCATTCTTCGGCGCCTGGAATGCCGAGAGCGACAAGTCAGGTTACTGCGGGTAGTGAATCCATCGTCATCGTAGATGGAACAGGCCTGGGTCTACCTGTTATGTCTGGCGCTATTAGAGAAGCGAATGCAGGACTCCAACAGCCTCCTGGATTCTTGGAGGCGGAGCCATCGCCTGCAACAGTCAGAGCTCCATCCCCGTACGCTCCACACCAACGATCGACTTTAGCGACCGATGAATATTCTTTGCCGATCTTCTACGACGAACCCAATCCTGGCCCCTCCAGCCGAGCGTCTAAGTTCCTGCGCCCCTCTAGATTTTCGGAAGCCTCGCGCAGGTCATACTCTGTTGAGCGGGCTTCGACTTCGTGGAAAAGAACATCGTCTTCGTTGCGTTTACGGAAGTACGCGTCCTTCCAAAGTGGAGTCTCGAAGCACCGTCTCACCATGGGAAGTGACTCCATCCCCCCTCTACCCCCTGGAAGCTTGCAGCAACCCTTGGATAAACCCTCTGGACCGACACTACGTAGGCGTCCTGGTGGAGACTTGCGTCAAATGCGAAACGGCGGCGGCTTCCAATCCAGACCCGATTCAGGGTCCTTTGTCTCTGATATCACATATCGTAGTTCTGGTGCTGACACGGCTGTTACTCGGGTTGATGAGCCGTGTTCGCGACCCCAGACGAGTCTCATCCCTCCGAACCCTCGGTTTTCGTTATTGACAACTCACTCGTCACAGAACCTGCGGCGTTCCTTTGAGGATGCTATTGCACAGTTCGCACAGATCCCAGATGACGATGATGGGGGTGTCGAGTCAACACTATTGAAGCTCGAAGGGAAATGGCATGGGACGTCTGCTGGGGATGCTGAGGCTTCTGCTGCTGGGTCAGATCAGTACCTACAGCACTACAATCCAGGTGGGGTCACTGGGGAGGATTGGCTCCGTCAGAGCCGTGGTAGCGCAGGACCCCACAGCTTTGCGAACTCGAATGCGGTGGCTAGGAGACGCCAAACCTTCCTTGGTGATGGTCTGACATACTCGCAAGTCCAGGGACGCATTGTTCCTCAACGACCATATTCTGACTCGATCGCGGAGTCCGAAGACTCCTACAGCTCTATACCTCTCCTAGAACGGGGATTGAGTGATGAGTCAATGAAGAAGCCCGTCGCTAGCCGCCCGACGTCTCATATGGCCGGGCCTTCCCGCTTTCAACCCAGTTTCTCCAGCCGTGAGACATCGGATGTGGAGTCTTCTCACCCCTCTATTGACATTGTGAAGGAGACCGAGAGTATGAAGCGCATCCCGCGAGGTTCAACACTCCCGGGCATTTCCTCTGGGTCGAGAATGCATACAGGGCGTCTTTCTGGGTTGTCATCTGGTATTTCAATTGATATGATTGATTCGCAAGAAGCTGCAGAGCAACGTTTCTCCATAGACACGCAAAGCATGACCGATTCATCTCTCGGTATTCCGCCTCATCCGCTCGCTCATCCACCCTCCCCTCCGATGACGGTCCAAAATACCCGATCCGTGGGTTCTTGGACTACGCCGTTGAACCCGGTGCTGTTCCAGGCCCAACCATTAACACCAGATCCTTCTCCCAGAAACAAAATGGCACAGCAAGCGAATACTCGACCAGTCAACACGCAGCAGGTTTCAGGAGATGTTCTTTCCCAGTCAGAAAAGGATCGCCGACTCCCGGAACCATTGAAGACAGCGGGCCATGAGCATGTGCCATTTGTTCTATCGTGCGAATCGCATGTCCTTGCCCAGCAACTGACCTTGGTGGAGATGGCTGCCTTGAGTGAAGTTGACTGGAGGGATGTGGTGGACATGCGATGGAGCAGTGGGTCACCCACCGTGTTGAGTTGGGTGCAATTCCTCATGGAAGACGAGCACAGGGGCATTGACCTTGTTGTGGGACGATTCAACTTGATGGTTAGATGGGTGCTCTCAGAAATTGTTCTCACGCAAGATATTCACGAACGAGCGCGAACGATTGCCAAATTCATCCACACGGCAGCACATGCCAGAAGAATGTGCAACTATGCCACAATGCTCCAGATTGCCATTGCTCTCTCGTCGACCGACTGCTCTCGCCTTCAGGCTACCTGGGACCTGGTACCCGTTTCCGACAAGCGTCTGCTCAAGGATATGGAATCGCTTACGCAGCCCATTCGCAATTTCCATGAGCTTCGTCTCGAGATGGAAATGGCCAATGCGCAAGATGGTTGCATTCCATTTGTTGGTAAGTTTCCTTAACCGTTTACCTCGGTGACTAAAGCTAACTTGTATTCTTAGGCCTGTATGTCCACGACTTGACGTATAATGCGCAGAAACCAGCACGAGTCACAACACAAGATGGAAAGTCCCTGATCAACTTTGAGCGCTACCGCACCACCGCGAAGATTGTTAAGAGCCTCCTCCGACTGATTGATGCCAGCACGAGGTATCGATTCGAGCCTGTGCCGGGTATCATTGAACGTTGTCTTTGGATCGCATCACTTTCGGAGGAGCAAATCCAACTGCGCAGTAAGCAGTTGGAGTAAATCAGTTGTCTCAGCGCGCTAGAGGCACAGCAAAGCAATGACAGAACACCAAAGAAGGAATACTAAACAAGAGGAAAAGAGAAAAAAAGAAAAAGGAAAGAAAGCATACGAAAGACTTGCATTGAGGAGTTATCCATTCGGGTCACCAGCGCACCTAATATACCCCAAGCATATCGTCCGTCTATGATTACCAGCGACCAAGATATCCTTGACGAAGTTTACTTTTGCACCCACGAGTCAGGGTTGGCATTTTGATACCAAGTTACCATGTACAATAGCATTGCATTTGTCTGCGAAGGAGGTTGTTTTTGTGGATTTTTGGGATTGGTGGTATAATTTTGGGGATTTAATCTTTTGCATTTTGGGTTCATGAAGCGATATCCACATGGTTAGGGATGATAGGATGGTGGTAGCATTGATATGGAAGCGACGTTATCCCCGTGGCAGGGGAAGGAATACACTTTTTTTGAAATAAAGATGAAACTCTTGGAAGTAAGCAGAATCTGTAACCTGACTAACGGGATGGAAGGAAATCGCAGCAGCTGAAGTGAGTGGAGCGGGCGAGTTTCATCGGCCGGGAACATCCCAATCTCCTCTCTGTCTCCCAGGCTGCCGTTCCGCCTTGCTTTCTCCCTCCCTCTCTCTCTCCCTGAACATCATCTCTCACCCAAATTATTCCCCACCTTCCATACCACTTACCCTGGGAAACAGAAACTATCCCAAAGGAGGCTGACCCTCCCGTGTGTGTCCCGTCTTATTTCCTCCTCCATGGAGCGAGAGCCAGAGCTTCTTTGCCCGACTCCCTCCCCTCCCTTCTTTGTTGGTTCCTGACGTTATCGCATTTACCACCCGCCATGGACGCCTCCGGATCCCCCGCGGGGCGTCGGACGACCTCGACCGCAGCGACCCCGATCTGGCCGACCGCAGCGCGGCACGCAAGTCCTTACACGCTGCAGGACTGCCGGACGATCTCCCCAAGTCCTTGGACGACCGTCGTTCTATCCCTCTCATCCAGCCCGAAACGGAGATGTATGATGCCTGGCAAGGTGCGTTACTGCCTCTCCTTACTGGTCGCGCATGAAAGAGGACCCTAGTGCAAGCGACTATACTTGCTTTTTCTGGACACTCGGAGGAATACACGATCCGACAGACCCAGAAGTCCCCGTGAGATCGAATATAACGAGAAGTGTAACAGGTGGCTGATCCGTTTCCGCTCCGCAGGCCAATCCCAATTCCTCACCACACCCGTGGCCGCAAAACCATTGAGCTTCAGTCTAGCCCTCGACGACCACACCCATGACGAAGAACATAACCTACAGGCCCAGTACGGGCGCGGACTGGCCGCATCTACCGACGACGATAACGAATCCACAACCACTGCCCGGCTGGAAGACAGTGATGCCCGGTTGATGGAGATGCTTGCTGCGCAGGCTGCTCACCGGGAAGTCGAGTCGCTGGGTGCGGACGAGGAAGCCATCGCAACGGATGAAAAGCTATCGGACGCAGAGAAGAAAGATATTTTACAGCGCAGCTTGAATATGGCCGCTAGTAACGGGGACGTGGAACGTGTTCGGAGACTAGTGCAAGGCCATGCGGCTGAATATGTCGATGTGAATAAGCCGGATGAAGAGGGGACGGTGCCGTTGATCTATGCTAGTTGCTTCGTACGTGCCGCTCTTTAACTCATTTGTCTGTTTGGGTATGCGCGAAACTAATCCTCGGCGTAGGGACACCAAGATGTTGTCTCAGCGCTTCTCGATGCAGGCTCCCATATCGATCAGCAGGACCGGAATCAGTGGAGTGCCTTGATGTGGGCCATGACAAACAGACACAAGACAATCGCGAAGATCCTTCTCGACCACGGTGCGTCTCCGGATATCAAGTCCTCGTCGGGCGGGACGGCGTTCGACTTTGCACAGCCTGGTAGCGAGATTTCAGAGTATCTGCATGAAAACGGTTACCACTTTGGGCCGAGTGCGATCGAAGACGATTTCTATGATTCCGGGTTTGGACACGGTCGCTTCGAGGAGGAGATTGCTGAGAATGAATTGAAGCGGCGCATGATGATGGAGGAGAGCGCCATCAATCTTGAGGTGGATCTATCGAGCCTGGGGCTCGACGAGAAGTTTGACGTGAGTGATAGAGTTGAAAGAGTGTCCCAAAGTAGCAGCTAACCAGGTCATTCGTTCGCCAATTACAGTCTTTAGATGAAGAGGAGCTTGAAGAACAGCAAGAATTTGTGTGGGATCGATGTCTGAACGATCAGATGTTCGTCTTTCAGGAGAGCGAGCTCGAACGGATCCTCAACATCATCATCACCAACATGACACCGCAACGCTCGCCCTCGCAGAAACCCGTCCCCGCCAACCTACTCTTTCTCAGTGCTCGATATGCGCACTACCATGCTAGTCCCGAATTGCTTGCTAAGCTGCTCGTTTCCGCGACCGAGAAGATCAACGATGTCGTCGAGCGCCATCAGTGGGACATGACGATCCTGGCTTTCTGGATGTCAAATGCGACGTTGTTGCTACATTATTTAAAGAAGGATGGCGGGCTGGTGGAATCTACGGTGGAATTCCAGCTACACCTGGCCGAGCTGATCAATGAAATCTTCATTCTCATCATCCGCGACGCCGAGCGTCGCATGAACAAAGTGCTTGACGCCGCCATGCTGGACCATGAGACCATTCCGGGACTAGAGGACGTCCACTTCCAAAATGAGTGGAAGCTCTTCCGCTCCAAATCCAAGAAAACGCCCGAACCGGCGGAGAAGCGCTTCCGACCTCCATCCCCCAGACGGCGCGCACAAGTGTCTCCGCGCAACATTACTTCTCTCCTCTCCTCTACGCTCTTTGTCCTGGATCTCTACGATGTACACTCGGTCATCACTACACAGATTATCTCCCAGCTCCTGTACTGGCTAGGAGCTGAAACGTTTAACCGCATCATGTCGACCAAGCGCTACCTGGCCCGGACCAAGGCGATGCAGATTCGCATGAATGTGTCGACCCTGGAGGATTGGGCGCGAAACAATAACCGCCAACCGGAACATTATGAGAATGGATCGACGAGTAGCACGGGCGAGAGCACGATGGAATCCGCGCGCCGGCATTTGGCGCCAGTCATCCAACTCCTACAGTGGCTTCAATGTTTCTCGTCGCTTGGGGACGATTTTGAGTCACTTGTTACGACTCTGCTCCAGCTGCAGCAACTCACCCCGGCGCAACTCTTGCATGCGGTCAAGTCGTATCGGCCCGAGGTCGGGGAGAAGGGACTGACCAAGCCGGCTATGAAATTCTTGATTGAGCTACAGCGCGATCCGGGGCTGCTGTTCCGAGAGCAAGCGAAGCTTCAGGCACCCAAGCAAAACACCACGGCACCCGAGGCAGGATCTACCGATGGACGCCCACAGACCCCTCCGGCCTCAACAGCTTCAGAGACGGCCGGATCCCCATCCACACGAGCGTCCGTAGCCTCGCCTGGCTCGAGCGTAGCGTCTCCGCACCCAGGCCCGTCGGCGTGGATGGATGAGCGCAGTAACAACGTATTCCTGGACCCGTCCCTCACGCTCCCCTTCTCGCTACCCACGAGCACAGATATGCTGATTAGTTACGGGGCGGGCTGGGGCGGCACGAACCGAGAACGCGCGCGCAAGTATATACCGACGGTACCTCCGGAGGTGCTGAGTCGGTTCGACCGGGACAGCTGAAGGGCATGAGGAAACAGGGGGATGCGGAACTGGATACCCTGGGATTGCATTTCTAGTATATATAGCTTTTATTTATTACTTCCCTGATCTGGTGAGCACGTTTGGAACTTAGCCGGAACTGATAGATTTTCCTCCTACCTGTACTGGCTGGCTGGTGTACGTCGATACATTGTTTGTTGTTACGTAGCGTGTTCCCCAGCGATGAAAGAAGGAAAAAGATCTAAGTAAAGAACAAATACCATGAATCCACAAGAAAGCGGAAATCAAGAAAAGAAAAGATAGTAGAAACAGCAGGTAGCAGGTAGCAGGTGACGAGCGTCAGAGATAAAGACCCCGCCAAGCCCACAAGCGAAGAAGATGATGATGATGATGAGCAGAAATGTTTCCCTAATGGGGGTTCGGGAGATGAAACGCAAGAGGGCGAGCAAATGATATCTAATCTTCTTCTTCTAGTTTAGTATGAACTAGAAACTAGTTAGTTGGTTAGTAAGTTAGTAAGTTAGTGAGTTAGTCTAGTTCTAGACTTACTGACAGTCAGCCCCAAAAGGGCCGTGCCATGCCATATCCATCCATTCCATGCCTTTGGGGCAAGCTTCCATCCACTAGGTCCACTCTTTTTCCCCTTCTGTTGACGACGACTGCTTTCTATCTAGCAGTAGATAGACATGGTTACAGAATAAATTCATAGATAGGTAAGTAGGCTGGTAGATGGTAGATTGTGGGAATGAAATTAAATCAATCAATGAATCAATTACAGCTGGCCAGGTTCATTACGTGGGGGAGATATTACTACTAAGTAGTTACTAGTTATTTTTATTTTTATTTTTATTTTTATTTTTATTTTTTTTTTTGATTTCCAGTTAGAAATAAAACAGTAGGGCCGAAATCGAAATGGGAAATGGATCCCTAAAAGCATGACGAGTCGCGCACTCCCGTTCGTCGTCATCACCCAACGCCCCCGATTCCTGTCTACGCAAGTGAATCTCCACTTGGGGAGGGATGAGATCGCGGTAGATATATAAACTAGTCAAAGGGGAGAAGGGGAGGGATCAATGGAGAGATAACATATTATTTGCTTGGTTTTTAAAAATTGTCAGTGCTTTATTACTCTTTTACTTGCCCTTCTGAGATACATTTTTCTTCTTGTTTTCTTCTTTTTTTCCCCCCTGGCTGGCCTTGCATCCTCAGGCTGTCAATTCCCGATCAAGACTAGTGTATCGCGGGGACCGGTCCCGATTGGGTAAGTGTGTCTTTCCTCTTTTGGGTGCTGCCCTGTTTGGGCAATTACGATGCTTTCCAGTCGCTCTTTCTTTTCTCTTCTCTTCTCTTGGGATTCATCTTCTTTGCCATCTTGTCTTCTGTCTATTGTCCGTACTGTCTACTGTTCACTCGAGTAATTGCTCTTGTGTGGGCTGCTAGACATACTCCCTCTCCCGTTTAGTTTCACGTGTGCATGAAACCAACTACTAGTACTCCGTCTACTTCTATCTACTACTTGTTTCCTTCTACTACTTCCACTACCCTCTCAGGAAAGAAGATGCCTCTGTGCATCCTTTCTTTTCGTCTCCTCCTCGTTCCTCTTGGTCCCTCCTGACTTAATTGATTCCAATTTCTTTCATGTATATTCTTGTCGATCATCTTTTCGTGTGGAGCGGTGATCCCCTCGTTATCTTTCTGCCTATCTATCTCCGCATTTAGTTCATGCTGTCTGTTGTTTTCTCTCTCTCTACGTCCATCTGAAAATCGGGCTTCTTGACCGCTCTCCACACATATTCCAGCTCAATTGAGCCGGATGAAAAAAACCCCAGAAGAATCATGCTGCTTACACTGAAGCCTGCCTCCCAGAACGGAGTTAAAGGTCCTCATGAGTACTCCATTGTTCGCCAGTCCGTTCCAACCCCACGGTCATCCCCGCCCCCCGTGCCTGACCTACCAGCAGCGGTCACCGCACCCTCAAGCTCTTCTGCGGACCGCTCCATGGACCCCTCGCGCTCAGGATTGCCGCCTCCTGCCTCGTTAACCTTACCGCCTCCCAATGTGGGCTTTGCCAATGTGTCTGGCTCTGCGATGAACCAGCCACTTCCGCCGCCCCCGGGCCAATGGCAGTCCTCGGATGACTCCATGCGACAATGGCTCCAGGCCAAAGCGGAGGAAGATCGGAGGAAGCAGGAAGAAGAGAAGACGCGCCAAGAGACCTTGCGACTCGAACAGCGGAGGGTTGAGCAAAGTATGCTTCGTGATTCCTTGCAGGCCGGTGTCCCACCCCAGATGATCCCGCTCATCTTCGCCGGCATCAGTCCCGGCGGTCTGCCAGCATCGATGCTCGAACTCACTCAACAATACCTAACTCAACCCTCTGCACCTCGCGGGCCTGCTCCGCAGATGCCTGTCATGTCTCATGCACATCCCCATGCCCAGCGTAGGCCTACACATGTCCGCCAAGACTCCCGTACCATTCCCTCAAATGCATATGTTGCTCCACAGGTGCACCCTCAGACTGTGCCCCCCCCGGGAGTCCTGCTATCTCAGCCATTGCATACTGTTGGAACCTCTCCTACCCCGCAACCGCTGGGTCGTCCGTCAGTATCCAATGGCCCCGCTGATCCACGCTTTGCTGTTGCAGCTATCCCTCGCTTGAACCCTGGGGAGTCGCAACTGCAACCGCCCATTAATCTCAGCAACGTGCACTATGCCCCAGGATCGTCCATCCCGTCAACTCAGCCTCCGCGGGGCAAGTCAGATTCTTCGTCTCGCCCGTCCCCTCCATCCCTATACTTCCACCACTGGGTTCCTCCAGGTCAGACGGCAGGACATGCGCAATCGGGAAGAATTAGGCAGGAATCACCGGGTGCCGTACAAGGATCTCGGCATGTGGAATCCAATGTCTCTCCCGGACGGAAGAGGAAGGCCCATGGGGCACACCATCCAGCGCCATTGCCATCGTCTCGTCCCCCAGAATCCTTCCCTGGCTCTTCGCAGACATCTCAGCCAGGGTCTCCGGCCCCGGAATATCAGACCGAGCAAGCAGTACCGCCGACGCATCACCATCACTCTCTCCCAAGATCGAGTGACGCATCTGCTTCGTACCAGACACCGGCGGAAGATGTGAAACATGAACACCGCAGTCGAGGTACTAGCCCAACCCACTCTTCAGAACGCATGATTGTGGATGATGCTAGATCAAACGAGCGTGATCGAGTAGATAATGAGGGCCGTTATGAGGAGAAAAATACCTCTGCAGAACATGCCACCTCGCCCCACACAGTTCGGGTACAGCGAAGCGAAGCAGCCGCTTATCACGACCCTCGCAGCAGTCCTGCCCGCTCACCAACAGCAAAAGCTTTGCAAATGTCCAAAGAGCATAATTTAGCCTCGGGACACTAGGATGAATGTGGTTATCATGGGGCTTATTGCTGTCTCGAATGCCACACTTATCAGGGAAGACTAGTGAGGTCCAGCATTCAGAGCCATTGCATTTTGCATCTACCAGATGAGAATTAGCAATTGCACGGAAAGTTGTCCATCACAGTTTACCATTCTCTACTTTCAAGGAATTCCTTCTCTTGATTCAAGCGTTTGTTTTTGGATTTGCTGCAGATACCATTCCTCGTTCGAATCTCCTATGTTATTCGTTTTCGATTCTTTTCGTATACAATATTGATATATGGGTTACCCTCGACTGGATCGCGGCGGTCACCAGGATTCTGGTGCATTCTGAGCTCCGTTGTCCTGCAGCTGGGCTGATGGGACTGACTAAAAGTCCTTGGGGGATATATCTTGATACCACAATGCGCGTGATTAGCTATTTATAGAGGGTGGATTTGTGGTTTTACGGAACACAATCGGCATGTTGCTTTGGTGGAGACTGTTGGAGATATGTTGCCGAGATTTTCTATAATGATTTGATACAGTCAACTAGTTATGGTTACAGATGAGACTCTAGTAGACGAGGAACTAGCTAGCTAGCTACATAGGCAAGACTAGGGTAGATAGATAGATAGATAGATGCATAGACAGCCAGGATTGGATCCCCGCACGACAATAACTGTGGCGGTTACCACCTGACACGTTTGTATAAAACACAGACAAGACATGAACAACGTCAAAAATAGACCACGAAGTAAGACGCAAGATGAGACAAGACAGACATACAGACAGACAGGCAGCAAAGGAAAACAAAACCGATAACGATAGAAACAAGATAAGAATAAAAGGGGTATCAGAGTCAACAACAAGGTATTAAGTATGTAGTTGGTTTGGTCCCTAGTATATAGGAGGTGGTCGGGTAGTGTGCAGTGTAGTAAGAAAAACAGAAGCAGATGAAAGAGACGGACAGACAGTAAGGAAATATCAAAGGGAAGGGCAGCAGATGTATAGATAGGTAGAGTGATAGTAGACAGGATAAGTATAGGAAATTGATATGAAAAAAATGAAAGTTCACGACTGGGTCGGGGTGGGTTATAGTGATCGTATGTATGTATGTTTTGTATGTATGTATGGTGGATGTATCTGTGTCTGGACACGGAGCGTGTTCAGGTGACAGGCATATGTCTAGACACATTGGGTTTTCTTTCGAGAAGAGCCGAAGAAGGGTAAAGGTATGTATGTATTAACGATGAAAGTGAGCGTGCGCGTATGTATCTCTGTGTAAAGTGTGCATGTATGTAGACCGAGCGAGTATGTATGTGTGTATGTATGTATGTTGTATGTATGGGATCCATTCGTAGTTCGAGAGACGGACAAACAAACGAACGAACAGACAAGGGTTGTTGATTGCTGTCATCGAACGAGGTAATGAGTGATTGGTATCGTGATGTGAGAGCCGTCAAAGAGAAGTAGAATCCATGAAATAAAAATATAAAGAGAAGTAAGTAGCAATGTTGAAGAAGAAGAATAACTGTAATATAAATGAAAGAAACAAAAACGACTTTTGTTCATTCATTAAGAATTCGTCGGGTCGAATCGTAAAAGTGGGTAGGTATGATGTGGAGGGTGAGGATCGAGTAGTTAAGTATATTATAAGGTAGGGTTGTGCTGTATGTATTATCGAAGTGAATCTGCGAATCTTGTCCGCGCCGTAGATAGAGGTCGTCACATCACGTAACTTGATTATTTGCTTTGCTGCTGCTGCTGCTGCTGCAAAGTCACTAAGAGGTCTTTTTGCGACGGTGCACTTTCCACTCTGCTTTGGCGACACGCATGAATAGCTCGATGTCCTTGATAGGAACCCAGCTGGTGAGGACTTTCATGGCGTTCTCGAAGTCGGATTCGAGGATGATGTCGCGCATGCCGTCAATCAGGGCGGCGGAGGTCGCGTGGAGGACATCCAGTCCGTTGCCAAAGGCACTGGTGGGTGCGTCCTTTTTGCTGCCTTTGCCTGAAGAGCCGGGTGCCGTGAGGTCGTCGGCATCGCCGAGGAGCATGAAGACATCCCAAACGCGGAGTTGGGCGGGAAATGGGATAGAGTAGTTGAAAAGGGTCAGGTACCACCGCGTGCCGTATGCCGTGGGAGGAATGCCAAGTTCATTCTATAAATTGGTTAGAGCCCTGTGTCGAGGTGTATGGGAAAATGCCGTTTCACTCACCAGCTTGGCAGCTACCTCTCCTTTTTCTAGCCACTCTCGTTCAAAATCCCCCAAGGCCTCCATGAGGCCTGAGAAGCCGGACTGGTACAGACGCTCCAAGCCCCGTAATTGCCACAGTCGCACGAGCATGATGAACGCATGTTCTTCGTCGTAGTAGGCGAGAAGAGTCGCAGCCAGGGCAGCCATGCCCTGTACGTATCCCGTGTCTGGGAAGTACAAGGACATTGCATGAAGTACTCGGAACAATAGTCGCTGGCCTCCGCGATACCGTCGCCGGAACATGATGTGACTGGTGATGGTTCTCGGAACGTCTATGTCGATCTGGACATCATCGGGCGATGAAACCAATTGGAACTCATTGAACGCTTCAATTAGCTCCTCTTCCGAAGGGCTGTCACTGTGCATTCTGGCGCTGGATTTTAAAAAGGCGTACCACGCGGTCGCTCGCCATCGGTCGGGGATGCCTTTCCATGTCCGCTCAATCAGCTTGGAGCTTGTCGTGTCAAACTCGAATGTCATGCCACCGCCATCTCCGCTCCGCATAGGGCGGGCCATCTTCGTCCATTTATCTTCCCTTTCCCACTCTTTCTTTCTCGCCGCGCGGGCGGCAGCTGCGTCCTGTTTCTCACCCGGATTCAGAGGAGCTGTCGGGTGGGTGAGCATATCGCTCGCCTCATCTTTGACGCGGCGGTCGCGATTGTGTGGCAGATGGTTGGCGGCCCGACGAAACCGCGAGGTCGATCGTCGCATCATGGTCGTGCTATACATGCTGTGAGAAGAGGTTGGCCGTATGGAAGGCTCGGACATCTTCCGCGTCGGGGAGCGGCCTGTGAGGCCTGAAAAGGGACGATTTCCCCCGATGGCCGAGGGTGGACGGATGGAATGTTTCCGTCGCGGCGTCTCCGAAGCCATAAGTAGGCTGGTAGAGACACGCTGGATCGGACTGGGGTCAATCCCTTCGTTGGAGTTGGACGTCGGTGATCGGATGAAGCCGTACCGGTCGACATCTCCAGCCTTGATGTTCTGCCAGTACTCAATGCCTCCAGCTAACTCGTGAGCCTCTTTTTTGATTGCTGGTCCGTTCTCTAGACCGAGAGACGACACCACACTTTTGGTATCCACTGACATACTGGGTCCAGAAAGACGAGAGGTCTCCATACTGGTTGGGGTATCTTCCCACAAGATGCCATTCTCCATGGCCATGGATTTTGCCACTTCTGAGTCTGTCACATTTTCTTCGCCCTTCTCATACATCAGCCGTACCCGTCGCGACAACATATCTTCGTCCGCAGAGATGGCTCTGCTTGCCATGGCGCTGTGCCTGACTCGGAGGGCCGAGACGGGCTTTGACCGCCTCGATGGCGTCTCGATGGTCTCCGGCTCTGTGCTATTTTGTTCCGACGAGGCGACATCAGGTGACACCGGTTCTCTGTCATCAGATCCCCGTTGTTGCTGATTGTCCCCATCCTGAGTTTGTTGTGCCGCCTCTCGTCGTCTTGCTTCCTCTTGTTCAATTTGCTGTTGTAATTGGCGTTTCGATTCCTCCTTGATAAGACTTCCGCGCTTGGAGAAACGCATCGATTGCGGTCCCAGTCCATCGAGAGCCGAGTTTGGGATATCCAGAGCAATGCCATTGAAAGGGGCTTGAATCGGCGGTACAGGGGGAGCATCGTCATCTCGATCGAACTCACCCGACTTCTTACTTCTCAGACCGCCCCATCTGCGCTCCGACCATCGCGAACCGGGACGAGATCCTGGGCGGGATGCAGGACGGGAGGCGGTATCATTGACAATGATACTGGGGATGCTGTTGCGCAGTGAGCGCAAGCTCACAGTCGAGGCCCCAGCCTCTGGTAAGGCAGTGAACCTGTTCCGCCGCGATCTGGCATTTTGTTGCGACGGCGCGGACCCCGACTGATCCCAAGCACTACCGGACGATGCGCTATGCGATGTTTCCTCCGAGCACGAAGTACAATCCACTGGGGTCGGGTATGAGGCGGAGCGAACGGCGATAGGGGCCGTGGCGGCGATGGTGTCGTCGTAGGGAACGGTCTGGATGGTTGAAGCGGAGTCGGACATCACGACAGCAGGAACAGAAGCGGATCGCGTTTCTACCATTATCCTGGCATCGCTTGCGCCTTAACTCGAGGGAGGTGGAATACTTTCTGGACGGAGCTGCGAAGGGCTTTTGAGCCTTTTGGACAAGCCGGACGAGACGGTGGTGCACGCCGGTTTAACCAAGGGGGGGCGAGGGCGCGAGCAAAGGAGGGACAGGGAGGGAGGCGGGGAGCGTAGCAGGACTGTAGCCACAAAGGAACGGATGTGAGAACTGGGATTCTGGCACGAAAAAAGGGTCACGGATTGCGATTGATTAAGATTTGAGAATTATTAGGATTAAGATTAAACGGTCACACGACGGAAAATGAACGACACTGGGGGGAAGAGGTCTCTTGCGCAGCGAACCATGGCCCCCAAAATGGTTGCGAGGAACGAAGGCGGACGAGCAAAAGGGAAAGACGGCGGAGGGAAGAAGAATGGCTGGACCGCGGCAAAAAAAAAAAAAAATTAAATAAAATAAAAATAAAAAAGAAGTGAGTGAGTGAGCGTCAGTCAGTCAGAGCCAGGCTTGGCAAAGGTGATAGCTTGTAAATAAAAATGATGAAAAAGCAAGAATAATGAAAAGTAAAAAAGAAAACCAAAAATATGGTAGGATGGTCGGAGAAAAGACGATGGGTGAGAGAGTTGAAAGGAGAGGAAAAAGAAGAGGATTCAAGGAATGTGGTCACAATGAGGTGTATC